AGAATCATATTTCTTGCCTGACTGTAAATTTAGGAATTTGTCATTTTCCAACAAACGCATACAAAAGTATGATTTACTAAAAACTGAGGAAAAATCTCGGAAAGAATTCAGCATTATTTGTAAGCCCCCGTTATGGAATTAGAAATAAACCACGTTTGAATTTGAATTCCCCCAAGCCCCCCTATCAGTACGCCAGTGCCCCCTTTTCTTCTTTCTCTTTTTTTCTTCTTTCCCTTTCTCTCCTCCTTAAGGTTTGCCGAGGGGGGGGGGGGGGGGGCAAGGGCCTTTCGGCCCCCACCCCGATCCACACGTTGTTGGTGGGATTAACCGGAACTGATCTCCTGTTCTTTTCACCCTTTGGGGTAAGCGGACACTTTTTTTTTTGTCTCGAAATTTGAAAAAAAAATTTCGTTGGGGGGGGGGGGGGTAAGGTCAATTTACGTTAGCCGTGGGCATAATTATTATTATTATTTTTTTTTCAAACAAAAACAAAGGGGGGGGGGGGGTTTAGTTTTTTTAGGAGGGTTTACACACATAAAAAAATACCAAAGGGGGGGGGGGGTTTGAACCCCTAAACCCCCCCCCCCCCTGCGTACGCCCCTGCTTGGTGGGTTCCAGGGGGTAGAGCCCCCGGGAGCTCATGGACAAATACTGCCATTTTAGCAATACTTGTAAATCACTGGTATCAAATAAAAAATAACCCATGTTTAAATTGTATTGGGGGGGAGGGGGGGGGGGGAGAGGGTTACTGCCCCCCCCCCTCCATCAGTACGCCAGTGAAAGAGGCGGAGGTGACGGAAGGGACTACCCCCCATAAAGCTTTATGATAAGTCTTATATGTAAACCGTTCACAGGTTTTTGAAGTTTTGTTGTGTTACAAAATTACATTCTTTAGCAAAACTACAGCATAAAAACAAGCAATATACTTTTTTCACGCTTCACTTTTACTTTGCCGATATCTAGTGTGCATTCCGAAGGGTTGTAAATATTTACTAGGTAAATTTTAGTAAGTACTGAGCAGGAAGGGACTTCTTAAAAGAGCAAGCTGAATATTCATTTTTGGAACACTGATCTATTTCTATAACTTTTAATCTTGTTAGCATACAGTGTAAACTGTACATACGTGATACCAACAGAATACATATTTTCTACAATATTTACTTGTATATTTTTAGGATATTATGCGTAGCGACCGAGCGAGAAGATTTAAGCATTTATATTAGTCTAAACGCTGTACTCTTGGGCCCGCCAAAGCCTTAAAGCGTGTTGTAGTCTTTAGTCAGTATTTGCTATACATTTTGTTGGTGTGCACTTTTTCAAATTATCCATGGGGGACGATCCCCCTCAGAAAATTGAGGGAAGACGTGTACCCCGTCGCCGCCCCTGACTCGCACATTTCGCTTTCAATTGCAGAACGCTCTAGCTGTGTCCAAGAGAATAAATTCTCGGAATGTGGGGCATCTCGCAAAAGACATGGGGAAAAAAAATGTGTCGTGTGAAAAGCCAGGGAAGGTCACAGACACAAAGGCCCGAATTCACAAAGGAGGTTTGTAGACAAAACTATGTTTATGTGCGTCATAATTATATGACGCGTTTCAGACAAGGTTTGTCTAAACCTTGGTCTGAAACGCATCGAAACGCGTCATATGAATCACATAGATTTGTCGACAAACCTCCTTTGTAAATTCGGGCCAAAACCTCCATGGGTGCGATGTGACCTGTGTGGACGTTGGCTCCACCTATTTTGTGTTTTGCTCAAAAAACTATCCACAAAAAAGGACTATGTATGCCCCTTTTGTGAAGCGACCTATCAATATTAATGTTCACATATCAGTCCCTTTTTTGGATTGCCCTCCTCCCGTCCCCCCCCCTAAGAAAAAATATTATCACATTGTTACATGTGTGCACAATATATATTGATGTGTCAACCTTACGAAAGTGGTGTTTTTATAATGATTATTGACCTCCTTTAAATTTATATTTATATTAGGGTGATCACACTGCCTGTTCACACAGTCTGCCCCATGCACATACACACACACAACAGCAGTCAGTTGGTAGAAATAGCAATTCTCGTAAATTTATTTTAAAAAAACTGAACAATATTTTCAAATTTTAATTTCACATGTCTTTCAAGCATACCTTTAACTACAATTCTGTGTAGTTTCATTGTTATAGCCATATGGGAAATATGTTAGATTATTAATTAGAATATTGTCTGATATGTGTTATGTGTGACATGGCCCGCTGATCGCCCATTGACTATTATTCTGCGTTGTGAAAATGCACGTCAATGTATAAAACTCCCCTACAAAAATGCAATATCCTCATATGTTTCACTCATTAAATCAATTTGTTATTTACACTCAAGGTAACTGTACTGGGGTCACCAAATTTTCTTTTTTTCTGAAATTCAGTCCCTGTGGAATGTTATGGCCTGTTGAATTAAATGATTTCTCGGAAAATCATTAAAAAAAACCCAACTATACTGTGATGTATCTGAAAGTCTGCAGATTCTTATCATTTGTTCGGTTTTCTGAATAATTTGTGAAACATATAAGGAAATAGCTGTAACAGTGATCCAAGTAATTTCCATCGCCATATTTTATTGGCATTGCAAAAATATTTGGAATTTAATGTTAATATATGGTGTAAATATGATCTATAAATATATGATTAAAAAAATGCCAACAAAATGAACAGTTTGACTTTTCTATATATATATATAATTAGCTGAAATGACCTAATTTGCATATTTGATGAATATTCCTAATTTTATTTTTCTTAAAAAAAAAATTTTTCCATACCTGTCTGATATACATAGGTTTCATTGATGTATCATGTTCGGTTTTGATTTGATTACATATGCGCATATTAATTAGACGGACTTAGTTATTTTCACAACTTTTTCATATCTGCAGATTCGCAAAAATGGCAAAAATGACTTATTTTGTTTGCTTCTGCTTTCAAAACGGTAATAGATACATGAATTTCTTTTTTGCATTTTTTTTACCTCAAAGATGATATTTTAGTGTCTGATAATTTAATTTATTATTTGTGTCCAAGGAAGCGATGAATTAAGTTGTCAACTTTGTCAAATTTTGCCATTTTTGCCAATTTGACCATTACTGGCAGGTTTTTCGGTAATTTTGCGATATAAAAAAAAATGGTATAAAATCACAACGCATTGACCGATTTCAATTCTGTTTTTTGTTTTTTTGAAGCTTTCATAAAGCTTGATCATTTGCAATCATCAAATAACATGTGTTTGTTGTACTTATTTTTGGTGTGCTATACCTATTTATATGGAAGACTTAAGAAGACAACTGTTTACAGTCCAACTAAGGGTGTAGAGCATGCCGTTTAGACTAAAATGTGCAATGTTGTTCAATTTCTGAATTCTTTGTTTAAAAAACTTGCTTGCTGTCAATAGTGTATACATTTTTTATACATTTCAAACGTCTAGTCCGGTTAAAAATAGCACGTAATGATTTCATTATTTGACACGTACTTCACATTGATTTATCTTATCGATAAGCGAAACGATTTGCTTTAGTATCATATAACAAATATAACAGTAATGACAAGTATGGTTTTCCTGAAAATTGCATTATACAATGTATATTCATCGTTATGGAAAATGTTGTATAATATACAACAATGGGCATTAACATTTTCCAGACCAATGATTTAATTACGTTTAATATTGAAGCTGTTGCCCTTTGTATATACATGAATTTGAAATAATAAGTAGCCTTGAAAGTGTCGCAATAAATCATGTGTGAGTGAGCTTGAAGTTTAATGGTGTAGGTTTGTTTGATACTGTATAGCCTTTACTCTGTTTTTAATGAGATATATCTCCAATCAAATCAAATCAAACTGAGTGATGTTATCGTACAACTAAACAATATCAATCTTCTGTTCTCCTAAATAAGCCTGGGAAACTTGAAAATTGCATTACAATGTGAATTCATTGTCAGTGAAAATGTAATACAATACACAACAATGGGCAAATAATTGTTTCCAGACCAATGATTTAAGTAAGAAGAACTTACATTTTATATTGAAACTGTTGCCGTTGTATATACATCTTAGGGGGGGGGGGGCAAAACTTGAAATTATGCGAGCCAAATATTGGTTCGTAATGATGACCAGCAGTGACGTAATTGGGGATGGGTGGGTGCAGGGAGGGGCGAGTTTCCCCTCCCTCCTCCGCGAAACGCGGAAGCTTTGACATTTCAATAAATTATTAGAGATAGAAGACGATTTGTTGTACCGTTCCCAAAAAATAATCCTCGTCTGAATTTAGTTTTCCCCCTCCCGCGCTAAGCGGAAGCTTACGTTTCATTAAATCATTAGAGAAAGAAGACGATTTGTTGTGTCGTTATCCCCTTTTTTCTTTTCTTCTTTCTCTTTTTTCCTTCCCTGTATCTCCTCTTTTCCTTTTTTCTTTCCCTTTCCTTCCTTCTCTTTTATATTTTGATTGGGGGGGGGGGGGGGTGGTGGGGGCAAGAGCCTGGGAGGCAAGTCCTTTTGCCCCCCGATCTACTTCTTCCCTCCGTTCTTTTCTTCTTCCTCTTCTTTTTTTCCCTTTCTCTCCTCTTTCCCTTTCCCTTCTTTCCTTCTCTCTCTCTCCTTTTTTTTTTGCTGGGGGGGTGGGGGGGGCAAGGCTTGCTTGCCCCCCCCTCTGGATCCCGCCTGGTTTCTCTGTTTGGGTTTTTTTTTTCTCCCTCGAAGGTCTCCAATGCACCAGTGAGACAATTATACCTGAATCCACACTAACACCACTGTTTACACCTATCAATTTATATGCCCTCCCCCAAAACATAATATATACATACGTCTTAGCTAGTCTACTATCATATTTTGTCGACAAATTAGGCCAATTGCACATTCTGATCTCTACTTTTGTGACCTCCTACTTTTATCAGAGACGGATGAATGTGCTTCTAACCCTTGTGAAAACAAGGGTTCATGTGTAGATCTCTTTAATGACTATAATTGTACCTGTGTACCTGGTTATGAAGGCAAGAACTGTCAGAACGGTAAGTCGTTTCCACAATCTTTACGTTGTGTATGATTATTAAGGGGCCAGTCTAGTTTATTTAAGAAAACAAAAATCTCAATTTTTATTTTTAGTGTTTTAGTAGTAGTTTGATTATGCTCTTCATTTTTCAATTGCTGTTTTCATGATATATTGTAGTATTTGATTGTATTTTAGGGCAGAGAAAATTTCAGGGAAGCCAATAATCAGACCGGAATTGAAAAATTTGGTCCAAAATTATTTTTAAAAAACAGTCAAAATTGTACACTTTTTAGTGTTGCAATGGACCTTTGGATGTACCTGACAGGGTACTAATGTGTTTGCTGCCATCTAGTGGCCTTGTAGGTTCAGTGCATTTGAGTACGTGCTAAGAAAGCTGCGTCCATGGAGGCACTCTAGTGCAACTGAACTCGCGACTGCAGGTCAATTTATCCCAATTTGGATAAAATGTATTGTAGGAAACTGTGTTTGAAGTACCTTTATAATATGCTAATTATCTCTGAATTATAAATTTTTGACAAAAAATGCTGTAACTTGAAAAATATTCATCAGAATTATTTCAGAATAGGCAGAAACATAAGTTTTCATTAAAAAAACAATCCTATCATGTTTTGTGCACATACATACCTCACAAGCAAAATTATTTCCAAAAATCATTCGAGTTTTTTTTTCTTTGAAATATCATAATTTTATGTAAATGATGAAAACTATACAAACGTTGTCATAGGATTGTTGTGCATACAATGTACTATCAAAATCACAAAAAAGTGCCTTGATATCGTTATTACGACAACAGTAGTAGTACAAAGAACAAGCACTAGATATATTTTGAATATTCATGTCCTTAAGTAATTTGTATATAATTTGCATATTTAATGAGATAAATAATTTTCTCAATACTATTTCTTTCGTAGTACCGTACCAAAATTGTTCGCGATACAATTAACAAGTAGCAAAAACGATTTTTTTTTTTTTTCTTTAAATCTAAAAAATTAATAAAAAGAACAATTAATTGCAAATATAATGTTTTAAACATTTTAACAATTTTTGTTGAATTTAACGAACTTAATCAATTTTTGTTTTCAACTCCCTACTTTTTCAGAGCAACCTTAAAATGGTCGAAATATTTCTGGTCATGTGAAGAGCTCTCAACAAATCAAAAACCAATATATTTTTGATTCAGGATATAATATTGATTATGATAGGTTTTCTTTCCGTTTTTCATTCAGTTTCAAACCGTTTTCATTCAATCTCGTCCCGAAACTTCCTTTATATAAAACAGTCAATTTCGTCTTTGGTCATTCATTTTGGAACTTTGTCCAATTTTTAAAAATCATTTTACGTCCAATTTTGTCATGGCAGCTCTCTTGCCAATTTTTGTCACTTTTTAATCGATTTCATCAAAGCGTCGTTCAAGTTCGTCACTTGTTTGTTTGTTATAGTTATTACGCTTTGTCTTTTCAATTCTTCCTGAAACTTGCTGTATGTATATACGTTTGCATTATTTTTGAACAGCGTAGATCTAATAATATACGTTTTCAATACCATTAGCGTCGACAATTCCTTTTTTTAAAAAATACATGTAACTGAGTTTCACATTCTTAATTTTGGCTATGCATTGATTGTTCAAGTTTTAATCAGGTTGAATATACGATGAGTAACAATGTAAATTATTAGTGTGGATACAATGCAACCAATTAAGGGAATTCATTTCATTCACACAAAGTATGCTGTGGATAACAGCTTATGGGAAAAATCCATACTTTTATTTCTCTTGTCAAGAACAATCGACTAAAATATGCCTTCGTGTCATTCAATTCCATGAATTCCTTGATTCCATGAAAATTCATGAAAGAAAACCTGTCTGTACACCTGCCAATTAAAATGTGTATATTTGTACTTATCTGATTAAGAAACTTGATTTAACTTTGACGAAATTGGATGCAAAATAATTACATTGATCGGACAAAGTTCTGAAATCGAAATTGAGGTGTGCAAGATCACAAGGTTTTGTGACGAAATTGAATGAAAAAAGTGTTTAAATGGCTGAAAAACTTATAATAGAGATTTCAAATATTGCAAGTAAATTTTACACATTGCCGCAGTAGCTCACGGAACATAAGATGTGTGCGCATGATTCTTTCTTTTTTTGCGGAATGACGAAATGCGCATAAGTCCGTCGCTCAACAGGCACTAGGGACTTTTAGATTGAGTGGACGAGAACGCGATGAACGCCGACTGATCATGCGTGTCAACGTACTCAACTGCCCATGTTGACTACAATAAGAAATCTTTTAGATTGCACTCGACGATATACATGCATGCAGGAAGTAACACTATGAACATGACGGACAAAGAAAGAGGACAAAATATACTGTTCCTCATTCTACCCTCAACAATAGGCCATTTTCGTAATGTAACCAAATTTAATGCATCAGTCTTAGTGAAGTGCCTCAATACACATTATTTCATTCACCTGATAGGAATAATAGTATTTCAATAGTCAGAATGCAACTGCATATATTAAGTGTTGCTAAGTAGGTCAAGCTATAATGTTTGTCCAACCTGGCAACAACTAATGTATGCAGTTTGGATTCTGTCTATTGAACTACTATTATTCTTATCAGGTGAATGAAATAATTTGTATTGAGGCACTTTAAAAAGACTTTTGCATTAATTTGGTTACATTACGAAAATGGCCTATTGCTGTGGTAGAACATCCCTTCACTGCTATTATGTAAAAATGTGTAGAACAGGTGAATATGCATGTGACACCTGTTCTACACATTTTTAAATAATAGCAGGGAAGGGATGTTCCTTTGTCTACCTGAGGAACTGTATATTTTATGCGCACGCGGCATATACTACTACTGTACTAGATTTAGGAAAATCAAGGTTGACGCATTCTCGATCGCCGACGGAGACGACGTGACGCATGCGCAGTGCCTTAAAATGACGTCACACGTTGCAGTCAAAGCTGTCGACGTGCAAATCTAAAAGTCCCTAATATCTGCGTACGAACGACTGTGTCAGCGACTATTGCAATCTTTTGCGTGCCAAGTGAAATTAAGTTCATAATGGACAGTGCAAACTTCGCTTTTAAATGCTGTTAATTCACATCACACCCTTGAATGGCGCATGTAATACCGCAATCGAAAAGACGCCTCGTGTGAAATGGACTTTCTAATCTCTAAACCGCAATATGTAAAGGCTCACGATGAATAATTAATGTGACAGATTAACAAGAAGATGTATATAGGACCAGTATTATCTACCATAGGGCAATTTTTCTGTAGGCAGTTTTTTTCCCTTCAGAAATCATTTAACTGGAATTATTGTCATCTACTGCATTCATAGCAAGTACTCAAAACATTGATGTAGTTAATCTTTTTATTTAATCACATTGTGACATCCTATTTTTGTGATTGTGTAATGAAGAAAGACAAAATCATTTAATATTTTGACTTGTTGTGTGTCTCCATTTTCATAAAAATAAATACAAAATTATGACTACCAAAATATCATAATAATCCTGAGATTGTCTATGTTCTTCTCACACAGTGACCGTACCATCTACCGATACTCCAGCTTCTAACACTCCAACGGCATCGATGTCTTCACCATCATCAACCCCCTCATCGACAGAACCTGGTAAAAGATTATTGATTATTCCTGATATACAATTAACTCAATTGGCATAATGGTGAAGATGATGATAATGATAATAATGATAATGATGATGATGTTAAGGATAATAATAATAATAATAACAATAATGATATTCATGAAACTACTATTATACACTACTACTACTACTTCCACTACTACTACTACTACTACTACTACTACTACTACTAATAATAATAATAATGATAAAAATATTTAGATAGCGATCAATTTAACATGATAATGATAATGATGATCATGACCTTTACCTAATTACTATGAAAGCATGTATGCTGCATATAAGTAAGCTACCAACAGACCGACGGCTTTAAGTCATCTCCGAGGGAACTAGTAAAGAGGATCACTGCCTTACCTTGGTTTCGAACCCGGGACCCTCCGTTTACGGGACCACTTCTCTACTACTGAGCCTTTGCACCTTTTCCTTTTTACACCATATTTTTGTGTCATTTTGTAAATGATTTTCAAAATCGTTTCATATTTTTATCTGTTGTGTGTGTCCAATTTAATAAAAATGAAAAACCAGAATCTATGAATGGTAAAATATCATAATAATCCTGATATTATCTATGTTCTTCTCACACAGTGACCGTACTATCTACCGGTACTTCAGCTTCTAACCCTCCAACGGAATCGACGTCTTCACCATCAATAACCCCCTTACCAACAGAACCTGGTAAAAGAAGATTGATTATTCCTGATATACAATTAAATTAATTTGGTATAATGATGATGATGATGGTGATGATAATGATTGTGATAATAATGATAATAATAATGATAATGATAATAATAATGATAATGATGATGATGTTATTAATATTATTAATACTAATGATGATGATGGTAATAATAATAATAACAATGATGATCATGTTACTACTACTATACTACTATTAATACTACTTCTACTACTATTATTAATGCTATTACTTATACTAATGATAATATCAAAATAATGATAAATAAGACATGATAATAATAATCATAACGAAAATAATAACGAAATGATAATACTAGTAATGATATACATTAATCATAATACTAATCATGAAATTCATGAACAAAAGTGATAATACTTATGAAGATGTTGATTGTTCTACCTGACTGCTATGAATGCATGTATATTGCATGTAAGTAGGCAACCATGTGATTGACGGATATAGGTCCTCTCCGATGGACGCGGTAATGGAAATTGATACCTTACCAAAAGACATGAGCGCATTGACTCAGATTCGAACCTGGGACATCAGGTATTCGAGACACCCGCTCTACCATTGAGCCATCGTTCCTTAAGCTTTTGAACCCTATTTTTGTATAATTGTGTAAACAAAGTAAGATAAAATAATTTAATATTTTAGTTCAAGTTCAAGTTAAAGTTCGAGCTTTATTTCCATTTTACTAAGTAAATTACAAAAAACATTTTACAAAGTATACAAAAGTAATTATACAAGTGTACATGTTTTCTTTTCTTTGCTAAACAAAAACAAATATTTATATTATTCTTAATCAAGTTACAAGGAATTATAGAATAATCTTTAGTGTATCTCCGTTTTCATAAAAAGAAATACGAAATTATGAATGCTGAAACATCATATTAATCCTGAGATTGTCTTTGTTCTTCTCACACAGCGACCGTACCATCTACCGGTATTTCAGCTTCTAACCCTCCAACGGAATCGACGTCTTCACCATCATCAACCCCCTCATCGACAGAACCTGGTAAAAGATTATTGATTATTCCTGATATACAATTAATTCAATTTGGTATAAAATTGATGATGATGATGTTTTCACCATCATCAACCCCCTCACCTACAGAATCAAATAATTCACTTGGTATAATGATAATGATGATAATGATAACAACAGTAATAATAATGATATTCAATATACACAAACATTTGTGAAGTGCTTTTCACATCGTGATCTTTAGCTAGAGGTTCATTTGTAAGTTTACTATTTTGACGATCCTTAACAATTACGATACGCGATCATTCTTTATAATCATGTTTTCCTAATTATTTTTAGTCGTATTTTTTTCACTAATTCAGACATACATGTAATTATATTGAAAAATAACAGCAAATGAACAAAGTGTAACGTTTCAAAGTTTAAGTTCAAGGTTATTTTTCTCTTAAATGCAACATATTGCTCCGATTGTCTCATTTTCGCTCGCTCGATCACTACAGCACAAAGTTAACATAGCTCGTTCGACGTCACTACCAAACTAGCCAATCAGCTGTCAATGTCGTCATATTGAATGCAGAGGCAAATATATTTCGTGAAATTATCGAGAAATTGACTATTTCTAATTGCAAACTAGTTTTATTTTTGGATGGAAAAGCAGCCATTGTTATCTTGACATTCATTGAAGTGATCAGAATAGGGTAAGTTACTTCTCAGATGATTCAAGAGGTCCATTTTGTAGATAATTTTTAAATTTCTTAGAATGTTCCACTGTGTTGCAGGGTACCGGGTGTATGCCATTGGGTGTGATGTGTTCGCGCGCTATAAGTACAGGCCACCGCGCCGTCGGGTGTATTCTCGTACTGATGTAGGTGCAAAGCTAGAATGGCTACCACGCCCACTTCCCTCTCTATGCCTTTCTGAACATTCCTTCCCTTATCAATACAATAACTTTCACCTGCCTAAGTTATTCAAACCATACCGCCTCGCCACTTCCATTACGTAATCATTAAAAGGATCCGCATATACAACATTTTCCTGCTATACGTTGCAGGAAAATACAAATCTCCCTGGTATACCTTACAGTCCAAACGATAAATATGTGCCTTTAACGAAGCAGGCGACAATCGGCGTAGCAGACGACACTTGATAGTAATTTTGTATGTGAGATTTCTTTGCTAAATAAATATAAATTACTTTGTTAATAAATATCAACTAAAATTTCTTTATATTTCTTTAAACCATCATTGATATTTAATAATTCGTGAGTGAGTAAAAGAAACATACCAAACTATATAATTATATGAAATACTTGGTGGCAATTAGGGGAGTTTGACGTGATGACCGATTGCACCCCTCTGTTAATAACCGAATAGACTCCATGGTGTTTCATGAATATTCATGTTTTTGCTTACCTCGGCTAAATGTTTGCTTTTACTAAATTGAAAAATTACGATGGGGGGTTGGATGAAATGGACATAATGAAATAGGCAGAAGTGATCTATGATAATTCATGCTTTTTATGTTTCGTGTGCTCGACCTATAATCTTCAAATCGCTTGGCAAACTGAGTTCAAAGTTAGGCTTGTTTCACATGTGTATTATAGGCAATGACGAGCTTGCAACCTATTTTGAAAAATTACGGTGGGTGAACTTTCAAAAGTCAATGAGACATGAGGGTTCCAATGAAAGAGCTAGTGATAACGTACGTCGGGGTGGATGTGCTTTTCGTTTAAACAAAAAATGAATTTTTAACGATTTAAAAAAAAAACGTCCATAGGCTAACATGTTAGGCTGCTGACTCTGACCGTGCTCTGACGATAGGGGGCGTTGTAAAATGAGACTAAACGGAGCAATATGTTCATTTATTTTCCATCTGTGGCATCGAATAGCCTGGTCAGCACGAATGTCGTTAACATAATTTACTGCTAAACATTCATAATCTTTCAGCGTTCAAAGTTATCTCTTTTATTCAATTAATTTATTTTCCATTTGTGGAATGGGACACTCTGGATATCAGTGTCGTTCATATGGGGTCCCCAATTTTAGGGGAATTCAAATACATGTTTATATATAACATATTTAAGAAAATAACCTGTACAACAGCTTTGGCAACTCTCGTGGAAATAAATATAATGCGAAAGGAAACGTCCTAACCAATGGACTATGTACTTGACGATTAATGCCTTATTGTTTATATTTTTGAAATGCAGAATGAAAATGATAGGGGCATAATAATTGCTTAAATACCCGATGTAAATCGGTTATTTGTTATTTACGGTAGTTTTGAAAAAATAACGAACAGGAATTAAACTTGATTTGGGCGCAAGTTATATGGCTGGGATATGAATCAGCAATATGAATTTACCCTACATAAAGCAGGGGTATGTCTATTGTGAAATTAAATATGTGAATTACATTTATCCCAAATTTTGAACAGATGCAGGCTTATATGTCACGGTCATGAACGTATCAACCCCCTCACCGACGGAACCTGGTATGCGGTATATAGGTCTACATACATATAACACATATAAACATGTCAATTCCTCACAGATCTGGACGTACTTTGTTCCCCTACGCCCTGCAAGAACAACGGCGAGTGCCAGATTGACCATAACACCTTTGACTTAACTTGCGTGTAAGTCTCTTAATTTATGTGTTTCTCTATAACGACATCTTTCCCATATTGATTTTCCTCAATTTTAACCCACACTGCGATAGAAATTACTAACATGTCGTCGTCACATATTTCAATATCCGATTCTGCCATGATCGTATTAAGGAATAATTACATTTTGTCAAAAATAATGAAAACATTTAATAATATTTTTGGACATCCAATTAATATTGAGAGTAAAAGACAAATCAAATAAAGGCATGTTTGAGCTCAGAGATGTTTCGGGGGATTGTAACATTCATTAATGTCATAAATACTTTATCAAATGGAATATGTATAAACAAAACTAGATTAATCTGAAATCAAGTAAGAATGGTTAATAAATATACTTTTAAAAAAAATGGAGTTCTCAAAGGGAATCGACAATGGAATATACATACTTTATACTTAATTTAAATGGCCATTTTGTAAAAACGCATTGATATAGTTGTTTAAATCTGTTATGTCGATTGTGAGTACGATAAAATTTGCTTGTATTTTGTTAATCATTTAACCATACAAATTACAAGCTGATTGTTTAACAGTATCTAACCATTCTTCCTTTCCTTCTATATTACATTAGAGTGCTTTTAAATTGCGTTTATGTTACTGTGACACTGTGTAAATATAATTTGAATGCTTTGCTAAACGTGACGAAATGACTAGAAGAAAATAGATAATACTTTAAAATTTGAAATCATGAGGTATAAAACTTAATCTTGCGAATGGTCTTCCTTTTCAGCTGCGCCAGTGGATACTCCGGGCCTCAATGCTCTAACTCTTCTAACGTCGTACTCCTTGTTATCCTAGTCCCTATCACGATTCTCATCCTCCTCTTCATCATCTTCTTCGTCGTCCTCGTCGTATACTATCGTGTTCGTCTCCACAAACTGGAAGGGTATAAAAAGAGACCATTTCATTACGACAGGAATGCTCGTCGATATGAAGATGGCATGCAGCAGTTGTACTTCACAGAAGATAGGAGACACCAACATCAGGACCTAGAGACCTTCAAGAACAGCGCTATGGGCCTTCGATTCAGTAAAGAAATCAATGTAAGTAGTCATTCCTAAACTAGCAAATCAACGGTTCAGTTATCATATATCATACTAACCTCTGTAGTGCTAGTTTTGTATTTTCTGCACATTATCAATATTCGTGTTAATTAGCTTTGGGAGATGCAAGTGTCTTGTTCTATTTTGAGAAGATGGATAATGCAATATCACATGTGGGCAAAACACGTTGTCAAAGGATTTAGGAACCGAGCAAGGATCGAACCCAGGACGACTCAAATGACAATCCAGAGGCTTCGTCAAAATACCTCAGTGAATTCACTTCTATCGATTTTCCAAAACTAGAACAGCATTTGAAGTTATCTTGCAATTTTAGACTTCTACTACTGATTTGTACACTTCAATTTACAGGCTCGTATGCAAGTGAGATCTCAACAGATGGAATTACATGGGCATCACCCATCAGCATCTCGCCATGATCCTTCAGATAGGCATCGAAGTCGAACGGACCCGATACAGAGTGGACGAAGCCTTCACGACCGACCAGTGACAGGCGACCAAGGATTCCAGGGACATCGCTCAAACGGTATGCGCAGTCGGGGCAATCCTTCCCTGAGTCACGAGACGGTCAGCAGCAGCAGCAGCGTAGTCTACAACAAGGCGGCCAGAAGGAGCGTGATGGTCTCTTTAGGCAGATCGAGAAACGGGAGTATGCCGTCTGATGTGTACGTAGCTAACGGTTTTAACGACACACGTCTTTAAAACTGGGTTCTGTACAAGCCCATCAAATCAATATCCCTACCAAAATTGTATCACAGGAGAGACCTTTCGGACTGATTGCAAAATTCCTGAATCCGGCTGTAACTTTCTGGGATAGTTGTATGATTTTGATTCATGTACTTTAGGGATGCGCTGAACAATACTGGAAACCTTTCATTTTTAATTGAGGTTTTGTACAAGAAACTATATTTATACCCGCCTTTTTAAATTAAACCTAGACATTCGCAATTGTTTCTTTTTTAAAGATTATGTTCATCATATATACATATCTATTTTCAAAACTAGTTTTTATTTCGTTATGCAGATATTATAATCAATATAGTACTGGGTGTTTACTAAGTTGTTCAAATGTATTCTGTTTGTACACAGAATATTTTTTAAAGATGTATTTGTATTTTCTTTTGTTTACATTAAGCAATCTTAGTATAATGGATGTTTATGCTCTTCCTACTCTGCTACTGTACTGTTACTTGATACCAAAGTGGATATCTCTTGATTTAGTTTGTTTTATTTCAGTTTTGTGTAAATCCATATTTATGGTGAATGTGTATTTATTTTAGCATAAAAATGAATAACAAAACGAACACTACAATAGTATGCTCTGGAACACGTCAAGACTTACATCAAAATCAAATTAAAGCGTTGATAACATTACAATAAAAAGAACTGACATATAAATCATATCGTCAAGAAGTGGAGAGACAGATGGGGGCAATGGCTAACCGGTTGATTCACGTTTCCTTCAAAATCAAGACAAGTGAATAAAAACCGACCTTTTCCACGTAATCCATCAACTAAATTTGACTTGAAGGATTTTGCGAGGAGGCAGAAGAAATGCTTACAGGTTCGAGCAAGTGCCTCATCAAGGTAATTCCATTATAGGCGTCACATCAGAACAGGTGAAGAAAATTCCCTTTTAGGCTAAGGAGTGCCATTTGTCTGCCGCCCCGGAATTCGGTAACTTTTCAATCTGAAATGTTATTTAATCTATACAAAGAAAGACTTACAATCGATACTTGATATACGTTTTGTATCAGGTTCTGGTTTACAACGTAATTCATTGTTCCTTCATATTAGTGTTAGGATAAGTAAATTGTATGTTTTAGGATTAGAAGAACAAAAATGCATAGTAGACGTTGTAATTTTAAGCTATATTCAGGTATTTTGTATTTCTTCTACATATACATGTTTTTACACAGGCACTTTTTCATCCATGAATAAATTAAATAGAAATATAATAAACTGTATAAGCAACGAAGCTTTGGTAAGTGGTACATTTGGTTGATATGTCAATGGACAAATACATTATAGTGAGGCAATGGTGCATAGTTACATTTGGTTGATATGTCAATAGAAAAATACATTATAGTGAGGCAATGGTGCATAGTTACATTTGGTTGATATGTCAATAGAAAAATACATTATAGTGAGGCAATGGTGCATAGTTACATTTGGTTGATATGTCAATAGAAAAATACATTATAGTGAGGCAATGGTGCATAGTTACATTTGGTTGATATGTCAATAGAAAAATACATCTTAGTGAGGCAATGGTGCATAGTTACATAAGCTAATGTAAGCTAACAGAAAGTCTGGTAGTCAAATGGTATCCTATGAGAATTACGTATTGTTTTTATCACGGCCTTTTTCTTGTCTAGGCAAAACAAGAAGACCATGTGATATCGGACTACGAAGTTTTCGATGTACCAAGCTGGATTAATTATATAAACATAATAAATATTTTCGTGTGCATCAATAAAGAATCGAGAAAATTGATTATAGTTTTATGTCTACCTTTCAGTTTCAAGTGAAATCCATCGTGCTCTTTTATTTTTATGAACACAACATGGTGCACTATGGCCTACCAAGAGTAGACAATATGAATGTTGAAATTATATTCCATACGTTCTAACAGCGTTAATTACTAAAATACAATTTGTATTCGTAACTTGGGACTATATAATGATCATTGTTCATGAAATATCCGTTAATATCTTTAAATATGTTCGAAATGGACAGCAAATGTCCTTTCTTAATCTCCAAACGGTAAAATATCGTCATACAGTTTCTCACTCTCTTCGTCTACCTTTGTAGTTAGTAGAGGGAGTAAGTTATTTGCTCTTCGAAGCATAGCAGGAGTTCTTGATCTAGTTCTTTCCTTTGGTTTTTGTTTGGGAGATATAATACACCCGTTGACATATCTCGGATTGGACGAAACAGCTTGAAGTAGCTGAGTTTTCATGCTATGATCGGCTGTTGGATCGGGTGACAGCGGTGGGAAGTCCGATTAGCTTAAACTAGGAGGTATCATAGGACTTGGTGTTTGTCGTAGTTCAATAGAAGGTTTAGATTTTCGTTTCGTCGCTGGACGTCGCGGCTGTCGCCACCTGACTTATAATTTTTTTAGGACGAGATGACACGAATTTGTTCTCTGTGGCATATTATGTCACTCATACCCCGGGGACGTAATGAGGTAGTATTACCAATAGGTTTCACAACCGGTGACGCCCTTGGTCTCACCGAAGGAGGAACTTCCATTGACGGTTTTCTTGCTAAGGCAATAGTAGCCGGTGCGGTAGAACACCCACTACCAGGACCAGGAGTCCTTTCTGGGAATGAGGATTCCGTCCAAGATGATTGTGTTCCTGCAATCAAAGCTGTTTAAGTACCATCAAAAGGTAGATTTGCACGATGGGATGGAAGAGGGAATGGATCAGTGGGGGTTCTTCCATGATTACCTGCTTCTGCTAAGATATCACTCTCACGACTGCGATGGTTCTCGCGTTCATATTCCCCATCGTGCTGACTATTCATCGGTTTTTCGTTTTCTAGAACCACAGCATAAATCGAGTTGTCGTGTTCATGCGCACCAGGTCTCGATCTCTTCGTCTGAAAAAACGATCCAAACCCATTTGTATCTTGGCATTATCAGCATACGGATAATCATATTACTCGTCATCATAAGGTTCTTCATCATCCAGGTCACGGTGGTACATGGCACTACTGGTGGCACTATCCATCTCTATCTCGCAACCCTGGACGACTCTTGACATCGAACTCAACGTATCATTTTCGATGTAGCCACTGGCCATATCCTGGTTCCTGCGACTCTTTGCGGCAAGCGAGGATCGTACTTCATAGATGGTCTCTTCGGGCATTCGATGCATTGTTACAGGAGCAACATATACTGATGAAACATTGGTGCTTGATTTTGTGACTCCGGGTAGAGGGTCAAAGAGTAAGCTGCCTGGTAGTTCCCCAGTTTGCCGTAGACCAGTGTAGTTGCAGAGACTGGGAAGTCGGTATAAAGGTAAGGCGTGAGGTAATTGCGGATTGTGAAAATGGGTCCAATAAGTTGGCGCCACATGATTTGAATGGCCCCCTCTTCCTGCAAGTCAAATACAAATATAAAGCTTGTATTAATTTGCAAAATTAAATAATTTTGTATCATTCATGAAGAATTTGTCGTATCTTTTTCCTGGAGAAAATATAATATACTCATTAATATTATAAGAACTTATAATGCAATGCACAATGTATCTTGATAAAGTTTTTCTAATATTTACCATTTTCCTGTTAATATAAACGTGATGGATTTTGTACAATTTTCTGGATGTATGTTAAAATGTTTGGAAAACGTGTTTTTAAAACAATGCTCATTGCGTTGACTGTTTTGAAAACATTATTAAATATTGTTCTTGTTTATACACATAATTCATGGACAACAAATTATCCCTTATTTTTTCGAATGTAATGTTTTTATCAAAACGCAAAACTTTACCCCCATGTTGCCTGTTCCTTTGTTAAGCCTTTCTCTTTTTTACCTGGGATTTGAGCCCCGAATCTAATTATTGTCGACGTACTGTGTTTTGCCTGTCACCTTTTTGTAACTAGGTGAAATCTTTTGTTTTTTAAAACCTGCATTTGTTTTTAATAAACTTTTGTTTTGTTGCTATTTTTCATAAAATCGTGTGTGCTTGCTTGTTTGGTATATCAAGACACGTCTGTATCTTGCCAAGTCGTGAGAGAGACCAGCATAGAAGGAGAGAGAGAGAAAGAAAGAGAGAGAGAGACCGACAGAGAGAGGGAGGAAAGAGAGAGAGAGAGAGAGAAAGAGAGAGAGAGAGAGAGAGAGAAAGAGAGAGAGAGAGAGAGAGATACAGAGACAGAGAGAGAGAGAGACAGGCAGAGGCAGAGGGAGATAGGACGATAGAGACACATAAACAACTAGAAAGATAAATAAAGAGAAGGAGACAGATATTGCGTATGAACAGAAGAGAGAAAGAGAGAGAGAGAGAGAGAGAGAGAGGGAAGCCTTTGGAAATCGTACGTCAAATTGAAATATTACAATATCTGGATAATTAGTTGATGAGCAAGGAGGGTCTTCTAAAAATGATGACAGTAATGGTCCGTATTTCACTAATAGACTGTTTTATTGAAATATTCAAAGTTATGGATGTTTCTTTCCTGGGGACTTTGGTGACGAGTATTCCTTTAGCCTGTTACTAGTGAGATTTTAGATTTGGGTGGACTGCTACGTGTGGCGTCTCTGCGTTGTGCAGGTGGACCTCTACCCGGGGTTTCCCACTTCTCTTATACGAATAGTGCAGTGGGTTGTTAACGCGCAAGGGTGATGACTCTCCTCTACACGGGGTCCCCATTTAACGTCATGTCCCAGGGACGGAGTGTTTTCCACTTAACATAGCCTGCGTCTATGAAACAAGGGGAGGGGCACGTTAACACACAACGCAGGCTTTAGTCATCCGCATGGGTTGTATTCAAACCCGAGATCTTTGGTTCGACAGGTAGACGCTTTACCGACTGAGCCAACTCGACTCCTCCTTAATTAAAGTGAAGCGCATTTAAGGCGACAAAATTGTTGGTGCATGGTTAGCTCCTTAATACAATTGATCCCTAAATATATTTGCCATTAAAATTAGGTCAGGAAAGTACAATGAATTTCAGAATAGTATTATTTTCACCAAGCAGAGCGTGGGTCCAGTCTTAGGGGGGGGGGGGGGGCATCCGTAAGGCTAGGGAGGGGGGGGGGGCACCAGTCTCATTCCATGTATTCGCTGACTGAAATGCAAATAAGGAAGGTCAGCGGTCATGGGCGTGTGTGTGTGTCCTTTCATATCTTTCCAATCTTTATCCTTCTATTTCTTTAAACCCTTTTTCTCCTTTTTCTTTCTAGTTTGTTTTAAAGCAATTCGATACCGATAAGTTGCACATCCCGTGCTCCCATTTAGTTACGTCACTGGCTCTGTTTTTTCCATAAATGATGCAGCCATGCTGATAACTCAAACATTATAGTACACATAGAATTGTGATTTACTGGTCCAAAGACTCTGAACGCATGGTCACATATTTGAGGCGTTTTTCCTAATATTTCATCAGAAAATGAACAATAATTCATGCATGATTGCGCTTTTGACAATGAAAACGCCCCTGAACTTTGTACACAGGCGTTTCATTTAGTGTCAACGAACCAATGCATCAGGACTGTCGATTTTGTGTACATGATAAAAGACCCGTTCATGGGCTCCATATTGTCACATTCGCGAACTTTATGCTGCCGTGATCATGGGGGTATAATATATTTTGCGGGACATATATTTTCACGATGCATGTACATACTTCTGGGAATTATTTGTCCACGTGTTAGCATGAACATGATCAAATCGTGTAGTGTCTCCTGTTTGACTCCTGTAGTTCTGTGTTTGTCGACATTTTCCAGAGTCTTTGAACACTTTCCCTCACATGCATTGACTATGTATGGTGGAAGAAATAATTGGTGACAACAATCTTCTGCGAGGATTGAGGAAAGAAGGGTATATATCTACACTGGACATTAACAGCACAAACAATGAGCCAATCCTAGTTTTCTCACGCACTGGATAAAGAAGACTACATTTATTATCATTCTCACACTGTTGCTCTACCAATCCGGATCATGGATATCAGCTGTTCTTCTAAAAGCATCGTTAGTATAATATTCGTATCATTTTCCTTCTGGTCTGTAGCATTTCTTGTACCAGTATGTCAAATTCCCCTAAACTCATTGTCTACCTGTAAGTAGGTCCGTCCCATGCTGTATTCCACACAAGTTCATTCCATGTCTGATGTATGTGTCCATCAGACACTCAAGATCAAGTCTCATTATTGAATACACCAATTCAGTTAGGAGATTATGGTATATTAAAGGCTATTAACTCTCATATGATCAGGGTTTGATCCTTGGTGCTGACATCCTTGGAACAAGATGTTGTCACCTACGATTGTCCCTCTCCTACCAGGTGTATAGGATATGGGTATATAGCCTAGTTATGCTGGGGTAATAAAAGGTTCAGGCCCTCGGGAAGAAGAGTATTAATTTTGATTAATGAATAATCTTATCATTATAGTTTATCATAATAGTTTATTGTCATTGTTGCTTCAACAGTTCCAGATTGGAGAATGCATGCACATAACTCTTTATCTGTGCCTACATTAAATCCAATTTCATCGGCATTATAATACTGCTAAGACTGTGTACGAAAACCTACATATTATCTTTCATAATACATATTATGTCACGTCGAATCGATAGATACGGTGAATAAAATCACAGGTTTTCGATCATATCCTTTTCAATGAATGAAATTTTGTCGTGGCGACCCAACTGTTCGATATTCCCAAGGTCTATAAACAGCTTATGGTTACATATGTTGGGAAAATAATACCATGCATCGAAATCAGCTGTACCGGACGTTGGCAACCTGATTTGCAATATGATTTGTTTTTTTTGTATGAACTTTTTTTATGAGGTTTTTTTTTTCTCGAAATTATTCAACAGAGTTTCGAATATAGACATAATGTTCAACACGTTTATTCCATTTATAGGTTTTTACACATACTCCTAAATCAATTGAGAAACTAAAAATATAATACAAACGGAAACAAGAAACAAATGTCTGTAAAAACTACTTCTTCATACCAAATAATATTACTAAAAGTATCTAATGAAAGCACGAGAAATATTTCTTTGATTGTAAAATATGCGTTATTAAATCTCTCCTCCTACGACAATTAATGTATCTTTTTTTCTTGGGGTTATGTGTTAAAATTCTTGCATCCTTTTTAAGAATCTGAATAAACTCTTATAGATTCATTGGGAATGGAGGCAAAGACAGAGTTCAGAGAAAATTGCTGTGTAACGATTATAATCTTATGGTCTATGCATGACTGGTATCAGTACACACTTGCACTAGCTTAGAAAACGAAGTGGGTGAAAGATTTGTTCGATACAAAATTTGAGTGTTGGTGGAAAGTAAATTGAATGTTTATAACACTAACAGTAAAACGTGTTAGAATACTCTAGACTAATCTATGCTTTGTGAATAATCATTTACAGAATAACACAGTGCTTTGGTTAATGATCTATAACCAATATTTTGTATAGTAGGTCTGAATTCATTGAAGGTGAAATTGGGGATATTGTGCATTTTAAAATAACCTACATGCCTCACCTCCAAACCGGGTCCATTGTTGCTTTGATAAAATGACAATACATACATTCCAAATTGCTTGACGTCATCTCTCTGTTTAGCAACAATAGAAATACAGGATAAAGGTACAATAGAAGCAAGAATAGTCCAGTTACCACGTTAGACCAAAGGGGTTTTCCCGAAATTTTGCTACGGACTCACACATTATTCCGTAACCTAGTTATTTTATAGTCAAATATTTAGCTCTTAGTCCATTGTCCAAGAGAAGTTTGATGCCCCCCTGTCACATATATTCTTATGTGTATAGGTTTCTGAATTTGGGCAATGTAATTTTTGAAAACAGTCCTTCTTTGCCTTTTTGAAAAAGTGTTTTACATATAACCCAAAACATTCTGTTCAGTTATGATCACAAAGTATTCATGACAAATATAAATGTATTTAAACTGTTTAAAATGTGCTATGAACCTTGGTATTTGCAGAGTAAACTGTTTATATAAAATCTTGTACAAACATTCTCATACGAGTAAATACACTTGTAGCTCGTTTACACCAATGTCTAAGATCGTGATTTGACTGAAGTATGGACATCTTTCACCGAAAGGAACTCGTACAACAAGAGTATCCTATGTATGCATTTATTTTGCCTTACAAGTTACGACCCCGTGGTCTAAGTTCCATCGTAATATCGGGATGTTGGAGAAATGGCGATGCTTGGACCATCGTGTAAAAGTGCCAGTACATCGAGTGGTCTGCGTACAGTACTGGATCATGCTCAGTACTGTTTCCATTGACTGATTATTGATGTGAATGATTAACACAAAGAAAAAATATGAATTGTACAAAGGGTACAAAATAAAGGATACGGCAGGGTAATCATTACTTTCTGGGTTATACGTCCTTATGAATCTATGATTGATTTGCTCTTGAATAGGCATATGGTATAAGGTATAAGTAATCACATACAGACTGTTCATGTTTGGCGGGTGTTTGGTTAGTAAAGGTAACAACAGTTTGTCATCGAAAGAACATCTTTGATTCTCTATTGGGTGGGCACGCCTCATGGGTTTAGGGGGCTGTTAGAGGAGAGCAGCCCATAAAAGGACATGTCTCCGAACTTCAAAGCACATCGGTAGCAAAAGCAGACTTTTGGACAGAAAAGAAGAAACGGAACATCAGTCGCCTCTGCATACTGTTAAGGACTACTACTGTGATTCAGTCAGAACATGGGATTTGTGGGCCGCTGTCAACTTCTAAAAGGGATAAGGAAAGAGAGACGAAAACTACATTCAGTTACTGTAACTTTCCTGTTTCACCTCTTATAATTATTAATGATATTAAAAGAATGACAATAATTTTGATTCATATATATATGTATATATATATATAATGTAAAAATAAATGGTTCTGCGTCGGTGCATAAAATGAATAGGACACAAGGTAGATAAATAAAAACACCGGAGAAGTGAATATTCCACTGACGTTTCGGGCATAGCCCTTTATCGAAGTGATTCAAGCATAAACAACAATATACAAAATCAAAAATATATAGGCGACGCTTGGTAGTCAAGATGCAAAGGCGCGTGAGAGTACGCGAAAGAAGAGAAAAAGAGATAGAGAAACGTCACAAAGCTCAAAAGTTGGACCATTGTGACGTGAGAAAATAGGAGAAAATTAGAAATATAGGGAGCGTTAGAAGAGCGTATCTCCAGGGGAGATACGCGGAAAGCAAAAGAAAAGGAAAAGAAGAGGCGCACAGAAAGAAAAATAAGCAATTGAAAAAGCATTATGACGTAATAAAGATATTAAAGTTCAACAAAGTTCAGTGTGAGTTAGGGAAAGATCTGAAAGTGGCGTTCATCCCGTCCGGATCATAATGCTGATGACCTTCAAGTATGTGTGCTGAAATCTTGCCGAGATGAGAAAGAAAGGAAGCTAATGGAGGAGAGGATAATCTTCAAACTTGGCACTCTCCACCCGGACGGGATGAACGCCACTTTCAGATCTTTCCCTAACTCACACTGAACTTTGTTGAACTTTAATATCTTTATTACGTCATAATGCTTTTTCAATTGCTTATTTTTCTTTCTGTGCGCCTCTTCTTTTCCTTTTCTTTTGCTTTCCGCGTATCTCCCCTGGAGATACGCTCTTCTAACGCTCCCTATATTTCTAATTTTCTCCTATTTTCTCACGTCACAATGGTCCAACTTTTGAGCTTTGTGACGTTTCTCTATCTCTTTTTCTCTTCTTTCGCGTACTCTCACGCGCCTTTGCATCTTGACTACCAAGCGTCGCCTATATATTTTTGATTTTGTATATTGTTGTTTATGCTTGAATCACTTCGATAAAGGGCTATGCCCGAAACGTCAGTGGAATATTCACTTCTCCGGTGTTTTTATTTATCTACCTTGTGTCCTATATATATATATATATATATATATATAGCGCTCAACACAATGCCTTTGTTGGCTTTACAGTACAGGCCTGACCTGATCATTCTGATCCATGAACACGCACAACGCACATCTTCAATCAATTTGAGTGTTTATATCTGCCATAACCATACTGACCACTCTGTAGGAATATACAAAAGTCACTTATGATAGCTTCTGCCATTCTGCTAGTCAAATTTACCTTGGCAATATCAATGGTTTGACAAAGGGGCGCCTTGAAAAGGCTCATTACTTTGCATATTTGCGTGATCTGAAATTCTTTTCAAAAATGGTTATGTGGGATAAAGTACACACTCATCTACTTAACCCTAATAAGGCCGGGGGGGGGGGGGCATTATGGCCCCCCTCCTCCACGATTTTCCCGATTCTTCGGGAACGAATATGGATGGCGCCCCACCGGTCGCTGAATTTTTTCTTTCGAGTCTTGCGCATCTTTAAACAATTTTTTTTTGAAAATCGGACCTACAGTGTCAAGGTCACGTGACCTTTTGTCTTTCCATGTCAGCCCGAAAATCGCTCATTTTTGTGATTTGTGTACAAAACATATGGAAATGTCATTTTTTTCTAAAAATAGATCAAACATTGGTTATTGGGTCTTGTTTAATGATTATTTTTTTTTTTTTCAAAAGACTTTATTTTCTGCAATCAAACAAATCAGTTATACAACAAATATGGATAATTATATAAAACATAAGGTATGCAAACAATATACAAAATATAGAAACAAATGTATAATACATGAGTAAGAGTAAACTTATACGTTGGGCCATTGCGTGTATAAAGAAAGAAAGCAGAAGGTCGCCGTTATAAGCAAAAGCTTGAGTAGACGGTCAACCGAGCTAAAATAAAAATGAGATGTGAAATATTGGCAAATTAACAAGAAGAGGGGGCCATGATACTCAAATGATATATATTACAATTAAATGTGAATATAGACAGTTGTATTCAATATAAATAATTATAGAATTAGCATATGAATCTCATATTTATATGGCTACTGATATTATACGTTAATGACAGAGATAAGAGAGAAACTAAACAAAAACAAGGGTGCAAGTGGTGCGTGTGTGTGCAAGTGCAAGTGTCCTCAAGCGCCAAAATGTTGAATCATCAGTATTACTATGTAACGTCAGACCAAAATTTAATGTAGTTTCTAAAGTTTTAGAAAAAACGCTTTAAATTTTTTTTTTTTTTTTTTTTTTTTTAAACCTTTATACATTATATTGTGAAATAATGTGTTTTTTTAGTGTAGCTTTAAATGAATAGAGAGATGTACACTGTTTAATATGTCTAGGGAGTGCATTCCAAATGTCTGGACCGTGATATCTTATGGACTTAAGCGCTAACAAAGTTTTAGGATTGTGTAAATGAAAATCAGTACAATTACGCGTTGGATATGAGTGAACATGGGAATTAGGAATAAATACGTCATGAAAAAGAGGAAGTGAATTTTGTGTGTATTTAAACATACAGATTGCTGTTTGATATAAGTGCAAATCACTCACTTTTAAAATGTTTAATCTATAAAATAACGGATTTGTATGAGCTAAGTAATTAGAACGAGTACAAATCCTAAGTGCTCTTTTTTGCAAGAGAAAAATTATATTTATCTTAGTTATACTACAGTTCCCCCAAACTACATTACAGTATGTAAAATAAGGTAACACTAATGCATTATATAATGTATAAAGTATTTTCTCGGGTACAAGATCCCTCATTTTACCAATTACCCCAACTGCCCTTGAAATTGATGTTGTAATATTATTTACATGATTATTCCAAGTAAGCTTTGAATCCAAAGTTATACCTAAAAATTTTGTCGATTTCCTTTCAACTATAGAAATATCATCAATAACAATGTTTATAACCTGATCAAAGTGTGTTTGGGAAGCACAAAAATTTATAAAACATGTTTTATCTAAATTGAGTGACAATTTATTGCATTTAAACCATGTTGAGATTTTAACTAATTCATTATTGAGAGTATAAATTAGAGTATTCAAGCATTTATGAGAATAAAATATGTTGGTGTCATCTGCGAAAAGCACGTAAGTAAGAAGTGGTGATGACTTTACTATGTCATTAATATAAATAAGAAAAAGAAGGGGGCCTAAAATTGATCCTTGTGGAACACCACATAACACATTTAAGTTAGGGGAATTAACTGACTGAAATGAAACAAATTGCTTTCGATTAACTAAATAATTCTTAAACAAGTTTAAGGCTGTGCCTCGTATACCATAATGAGTAAGTTTTTGCAACAAAATGTTATGATTCATGGTGTCAAAAGCTTTTGACAGGTCCATAAAAACCCCAATTATATGTTCCTTATTATTAAGTGTTTGAGTTATTTTATCACAAGATTGTATCAAAGCATAATCAGTAGAAAAACCTTTTCGGAATCCAAACTGATTGCAAATAAGAGTATTATTTTCTTGTAAAAAAGAATAAAGGCGTTTATAAACAATTTTTTCTAAAATCTTGGAAATGACCGGCAATAGCGAGATAGGGCGATAATTTTTTATTTGAGTTAAATCATCTTTTTTATGAATAGGAATCACTTTGGCTATCTTTAAGGAGTCCGGGAAAATGCCTGTCGATAGTGATAAATTACAAATATGAACTAGGGGAGAGGCCAAACAATAAATAATTTTCTTTAATAAATACACACTTATTCCATCATAACCGCATGATCTACTCATCTTAAACGATCCAACTATCTCTAATATTTCATTTTCATTCACTGGAATAAAAAATAATGAATTTTCATTAGCATCAAATAAATAATCCTTAAAGTTTTCATTTGAATGTATTGTCGAGGCTAAACGTGGACCTATACTAACAAAATAGTTATTGAAAGCAGTAGCAATTGAATGAGGGTCCGTGATTTCATTACCACTTTCAACTATCATATCAGAGCATACTTTCTTTTTAGTTTTTAAGAGATCATTAATTGTTTGCCATAATACCTTTACATTCCCTTGATTAGATTCTATTTTATTTGAATAATACCGTTTACGTGATACACGAATTAAAGTTGTTAATCTATTTCTATAATGTTTATATCTATCTTTATTCTGAGCAGTTGGTTTACGCAATGATATTTTATACAAACGATTGCGAGTTAAAATTGATTTCATTAACCCCCGAGTAATCCATGGCTGTTTTATACTTATATTATCTTTTTTTTTAATAAATGGCATATTCTTATCTATATAAAAAGAGAGTTTATGCAAAAAGTTTTGATATGATATTATGTGGTTGTTCAGGGGTCAAAATAGTTGAATTGTAGTAAGAAATGAAATAAAACAACAAAAACAAAAAAATACGTAAGTTAAAAAAACAATGAAATACAAAAGAAATTATCAAAACAAGAGATAACATAAGGAATAAGCTGACTCTTCCAAAAAAAAATTGTCGTATTATTATTTTAAATGATCTAATGAATATATGTGGTGAAAAAGAATACTTAACTATGAATAATATATGATTTATAGGTAAAAATGTGATTTTTTTTGGACCATATTTGTATAAATTACCATAAATATCCAAATAAGTGAATTTTCAAAAAATTCAAATTATCATATTATTCTATACACTTCACTTGACATGCGTGCAAATTTTCGCGGAGATCGGCAGTTTCACGGCCGAGATCTTAAGGGGGCCATAATGCCCCCCGGCCGTATTAAGACCTCAAATAGCCCGGCCTTTTTAGGGTTCAATGCTCAATATGATTTCGTCTTATTGTATTTTGTTCACTATCATGGTCACATATTTCTGTGTCTGAATTCAATAATAGTTATTTAGTAATTCGCCGGCTCAAACGGAAATAAATACTTTCCTATTTAACCTGCCGTGTGTTAGAACTATGTTAGTAAACATCTTCTCCTTATTATTATTTTTTGCACCGAACTTCAGTGACGAGCACTAGACGCGCGAACGAAACATGTTTGCATGACGTGTTGCATATCGGAGGACTTACCAGAGTCCAGGTAGGCATCAGGGGGAGTAATCCCTGTCAACACCTGTGTTCTAATCAAGAAAACTATGTTATTAATATGACATGCAATCGAATATATATGTACACACACTATATCCATCATAATATGATTCTACATGGGTTTCATGTCACCTCCTGCACCGCATCACCGGCGCGTCACGCTCCAAGTGAACAAACACATAATAAAATAATCATGAATAAAAAGAATTCATGTACAAAAGTAAATACGTGTCGAACATTGACACCGTAAAGTAAAGCAAGACAACATCAATACATTAACAACGTATTGAAAAATGTATAATTCACGTCCATCAACCTCAACTACATTGACAGAACTGAACTATAACCACTCCTCTTAAAAAGTATATATTTGGTTATTTTTTTAACGGCGTCTAGCTCGCTCATCGTCGAATAAGGTCAATGGCGTCTCACGTCACGTACTCAACGTGTAAAACTCCTGTGAACGCTCAGGCATGAGCGCCTCCTCATTTACATAAATTCCAACCAACTTTAGGTACCAATAGGAAATTGTATTTCCTTTACAACCAAATAGGTAAGGCCCGTAAACAAAAAATAACAATCATATACAATCATATACAATCATATAAGGAAGATAAGATTAAAACAAAGAAGGTAATAACAGTGTCATTAGGCGTTGAAAGAGGGGAAGTGTAGTAGCATCTTATTCGCAGTAAAACCATAATGTTATTGTCACTGAATCACAATAACAAATTGAATGTAATCTTTGTCCTATTTATTCCCAGCTTTGGCAGTCAGCCATATGCGTTGCAGTGCTAACCATGCTGTATGTAGTGGCGCTATCCGATGAGGATGTGTGTACTGTGCCAGAGAGCAACTGTACATGTTCTTCTCCATTGACGTCACGACCCCCCAGACCTTCATTTGGTGAGTACAATACATGTTGCACACGAGGTGTCATTAAGCTGACGTAGGGCTGCGTAATGGATAATGGAGTGCTGCAGCCTTTGATGCGCCACGCGAAAGTGGTATCCTACAAAGAGTGGTTGCATAATAACAGGAGTAAACATTTTGTTTAAGTTCCTGCGTATGGGCTACTACCCATAGGAAAGAAATGAGCCTGCCGCATACTCCTGCGGCAGACTTGCCGCAGATCTGCAGCAGACCTGCCGCAGACAGTCATCTTTTTCACATGCAAATTAGTTTTGCCGCAGACTTGCCGCAGACTTGCCGCATACTCTTTCAGTATGATGAAGAGTCTGCGGCAGGTCTGCCGCAGACTTGCTGCAGACTTGCCGCATACTCTTTCAGTATGATGAAGAGTCTGCGGCAGGTCTGCGGCAGACTTGCTGCAGACTTGCCGCATACTCTTTCAGTATGATGAAGAGTCTGCGGCAGGTCTGCCACAGACTTGCTGCAGACCTGCCGCAGACTCTTCGTCATGAATATTCACATCTCATTTAGACCTGCTGCAGACCTGCCGCATACTCTTTCATATCCAGTACGTGGCAATAAAGTATGCATGTAGAAGAACCAGTGATAAACTGATTGATACTTCATAATCGATAATGGCAATATCAATATTACCAATTAGGTAATACCAATATATATATATTACCAATTAGGTATATTCTATTCTCAATTGTATTAACTTCATCACATTGATCATTTGAAGTGTATTCAAGAGTAACATTTAAAGTGACACAGGCTCGTACACATATATATACTAAATATGTATATTGTTTCTTGGTTAGTAATCATAGTTTCTTGGTTAGTAATCAATATCTAATGCTTAAACGTGAATGTAATTGTAACATGATCAGTCAAAATAATCTATTGGTTAATAATGGCAAAAGGAAAATAGAAATCACAAAAATGATGTGCATTGTCTTAATTTGCTTAACAAATCATGATAAATGTATTTTTCTGTCACACGTGTAAAGTAATAATGAATATGCATGAGATGATTGGTTTCAATTGGCCCTATTAGACTTTGATGGGATTTCCTGTGGCAGACCTGCCGCAGACTGTTCCTGTGGCGTACTGGTATGCGGCAAGTCTGGAGCAAAGTTTCGCCCTGCCGCAGATCTGCCGCAGACTGTTCCTGTGGCATACTAGTATGCGGCAAGTCTGGAGCAAAGTTTCATCCTGCCGCAGATCTGCCGCAGACTGTTCCTGTGGCATACTAGTATGCGGCAAGTCTGCAGCAAAATTTCATCCTGCCGCAGATCTGCCGCAGACTGTTCCTGTAGCATACTAGTATGCGGCAAGTCTGCAGCAAAATTTCATCCTGCCGCAGATCTGCCGCAGACTGTTCCTGTGGCATACTGGTATGCGGCAAGTCTGCAGCAAAATTTCTTTCTGCCGCATACTTCGGCATACTCTTTGCCGCAGACTAAAAGTCTGCGGCAGGTCTGTGGCAGATCTGCGGCAGGTCTGCGGCAGGTCTGCGGCATACTTTTCACTTTCCTATGGGTACCCTTATCAGCTCAATTCGATGCGGAATGTTTGACGCAATCAAAATAACGCCTCATGTACTACGAGCACATCATTCAAAGCATCAGTTTTACCCAGATAACAATACGACGTTACGCCAACGTGGGGCCAACGTAAGTTGTAACGTTGGTCCAACGGCGCCAACATGATGTTGGGCCGACGGCTTTCTTGTCGGCGGGCCAACGTTAGCCCGACAGTGACAAAATGACATTAAGCCAACATCGGGCCAACGTTATGCCAACCCCTATCCGACCACATGTGTCGATGTCCTCCCGACATTGAACCAACGTTATGCCAACCTCTTTTCCACCGTATGCCGACGTCTTTCCGACATTGGAACAACGTCATCCCAACCTTTTTTTAACCATGTGCCGACGTACGACCAACGTTATGCCAACCCCTATTCCACCATGTTCCGACGTCGTTCCGACATTGGATAAACGTTATGCCAACCCTTATCCCACCATGTGCCGACGTCTCCTCGACATTGGCCCAGCGTTATACCAACCCCTTTTCAACCATGTGCCGACGTCTCCACGACGTAGGGCCAACGTTATTCCAACCCCTATCCCACCATGTGCCGACGTCGTGGGCTGTTACGTTGGTCCATTGTCGCCAATATGATGTTGGGCCAACGGCTTTCTTGCCGGTGGGCCAACGTTGGCTCGACAGCGACGAAATGACATTAAGCCAACATCGGGCCAACGTCCCCCCGACGTATGACCAACGTCATGTCAACCCCTATCCCACCATGTGCCGACGTCTCCCTGACGTAGGACCAACGTAATGCCAACCCCTTTTACACTATATGCCGACGTCTCCCCGACGTTGTCCTAACATAATGCCAACCCTTTTCCCACTAAGTGCCGACCCCTCCTCCACCATGTGCCAATGCTAGACCAACGTTATGCCAACCTCTTCTCCACCATTTGCCGACGTAGAAGCAACGTTATGCAAACCCCTAGCCCATCATGTGCCGACGTTGTACCTCCCCTTTCCAGTTCATGCACACATCCTTCTGACATTACCAACACCAACTCAACAACATATTCACACCAACATCAGTCGTCCGTTCATAAGAACATCGTCAAGATCATACTACATCGGACATGTACAATCATTCAAACACATGCATCACAACGTGACAAGGAAAATCCAGGTAGTTTAAGATTGGATTAAATAAATAAACAGAGCAAAATCCACAAAATGAAATACTAACAAATCCATCAAAATTAGACTGAATTTGAGAAAAGTTCATTATAGAACTCGACTTACATCCCTCCGGAACATATGTATAATAACAATATTGCAGCAAGAGGGACATGTTATTTTAATTTCGTCATGTCTATGATCTGGTACATTTTAATCACTATCAAAATTTGATAACAACTTATTTGTCCAATTTTAAAGAAAAGTTCACCATCTTGCTTCTTAGAATTTGCTCTGAATACATCCCCCTCCCTCCAAAACAAAAGCACAAGGAAAATAAACTGATTTTGTGATAAATCATACTTTATTTTATGTGTAATAAACAAACTGTTGTAAATGTGAATACAATTATTGTACGTCTTTCTTTGGTATTTTCGTTTGAATTAAAAAAAGATGTAAACATAGTTTCAAGTTCAAGGTATCTCAATGTGTCACAATAAAGGCCTACTATCAATGAATGCTAGGACGATATGAGCTGTTATAAAATGAAGTGTCGCTTACATGTAACACAACATAACATACTGAAATTCATTGTACGAATATAATAAACAATCCTCACAACTTCCCGAGTAAAACAAAACAAACTTTCTGGCAGACGAACACGATTGCTTATGACAAGATTCCTCTACATATGTACAGCACAAAAATATAAAGAAATTAATAAAGTATCCATCATTTGCATACCAAGAACTAGGCAATTAATGTAAACAATTTTCCATAAAAAATAAAAAATAAAATTCAGAGAAATTGCCAACATTTTTGTTGCTTAGGCATTTCAGAGATGCTGATACATTTCGTCGCCATATCTATTATTAACACATCTACAAACTGTTTTTTTTTCCAGGAGGGATAGGTTACATTGCTTGAATGTGTGAAGTAAAGCAATCGCTAAATGTTTATATAACAAGAGAGGAAATTTGAAAGAGAAAATAAGAAAGAGCAGAGCTTGTAAAGGGAAAAACACAAGTTTCTTCTATTTAATAACAAAAGTTATTGTTTATGTTGTGTACAAAACATATGCCTGCAGAGCTGGCTAGCGAGCACCATAGCTTGCCTAAGCGGAGATCGTTCTTGATATAACATCACTTATCCTTTGGTCAATCATTCAGAGGAACTCTGAGAATTGTAAGGGGAGGGGTCCACCATTAGACGAGCAACTTGGAGAGGTTTTCAAAAATTTGTAAAAAATATAAGGAGGCATTTTTTATGAAACAATTGTTATTATGTTGCTTTAAAAGGGTCTTGATACAAGACGTAAAAGTTTTAATTTCCTAAGGCAGTGGACCTTTAAAGAATGGGTTAGTCGGAATAAAAATCTTGTCTAGCTTGTGGTAGTACAACTTCGGCATCTGCGGCAAAAAAAGAAGAAGAAAGAAACCAAACAAGATTTAAAAGCAGATCATGGAAACATCACCTTGAAATAGTACGGATATTAATCAAATAGTACGGCATTCAAGGGAAGAAGTCCTGAGTGGCACATCCTCCCTAGTTTTGATTAAATTTCATGGATAGAAGTACTCTGTCATGAAAATAACTTCGTTCAAACTTTAGAGCGAATGACCCAGTAGTATGGAAATTAGAAAGGAATGGATTTCTTTTATAGCATCAAACACTCTTCTTAACAAAGGAAATATACATTTTAAGTAAAATGACAGTGATATTCTTCGAATAGAAAGAACCAATTTATAGTATCTGCTTGCTCAGTGTTGAGATGCTTGATTGATAACAGTTTAAAGCCCCTCTTAAATGTTGGATCCCAAAATTAGCCAAAGAATAGATGGCACAATCTCACTTAAATGGTATGATGTAAAAGAGGATGTCATTAACACCCGGACACTTCTGCAAACAGAATATTGCCCTAACAAATGTGTTTGAAGTAAAATATGGATGAAAGAATACAAAATTTGCGTTTTCTGCATACAACACAAAACCCTAAGTTAGTAACTTTGTATTCTTTCTTATTTTAGGACAAATGTTTGAAGAAGAGTGGCATTCTCTTTCACATCATTATAAAATTGAAGTGAAATGTGAAGCTCCCAATACTTGAGAGAGCTCGAGAGGCTTCAAAGTAGACACAAAAGCACAAAGCTATATCATTAGTTGCTTATACAAGAAACAAATCAATTGACTGTGTTTTTTTTGTGGCACCCTGCATTCAGAATTGTTTCCCCAAAAATACTGCTATAAGCAGTATTTCATGATTTGTTGTTGTTGAATAGTTTTGTAAGTGATCACAATGCAGTTTCTCAATATAATCAGGAAAAAGATACTTGCATCCGTTAGCAGCTATGTCATACACAAACGTACATTAATCCAGTACATTTGTACTTTGTGTGCAGGGCACAACTACAACGAATACTACGAAGTGCATTAGCTATTCTGTCTACATGTATAACTAAATAAAAAATGAATAAAATGCCAAATGACATACCCATATTTCTGAACGTTGAGGTCAATGGGGTCGATGTCGAAGGGGTCCTTGGTGCTGTTGATGCTGTTCCGGATGATCGAGGTAGGGGTAGCTGGATCTGGACGGGTAGAGGAATCTGGAATTTGTTGTGAAGTTGACGATATGAAATGCAGGATTTGATATTTAAATTTCAGAATTGTAGGGATTATAGGAGAAAAAAGTATTGGGATTTGGAAGAGCTTTATAGATTTGAATGTATTAATAAATAAAGAACGGCAGAATTTAAAAATAAATAATATTTACCTTAAGTTCAAATTATAGCAATTTAATATACATGTGCATAAATAATAAAAACTGATTTGAAAATGAGAATAAAAATGCAGCAATAATCAAATTTGTGAATGAAAATTTTGAATGAAAATTATGGGATCGATCAGTGTTACTCCCGCCCCCAATAGCTTTTCCTATTTACTATTCGATCAAATTGAGGTTCTTGGCCAATTGTGACTTTAAATGATTGCAAATGCCAAAATGAGGGTAATTCCCACCAGCTACCTCTTTCACATCACACTCACAATCCACTAAATGTGTTGATACAAAGTTCTTGCATATTTTGGCAGACTTGGCACACTCTCTTGTAAGATTTCAGGAGGCTAGAAACATGTACTAGCGGGATATCTGAATTCACAGCCCAATCTCGTAATTGATTCCTTTTCGAACTGAATCATCATCAGCATTATCTATATTGAGCTACTACAGAGTATAGTAGACCTACTTCTAAATCTGAAAGTATCAGAGACTATAATATCATTTAGATATGCATACAAAAATGATGCGTCTTCCCATTCAGCTCTATATATCAAGATCAGTATTTGATTCAATTGGTCTTTCAAACAATGCATCAGCACCTTCAACACTTGAAACACCAACAGATTCACAATCATTTGATTCATGGTCGATATTGCATATTGGGATGAACATCATCACTGTCACGGACGCTGTAACATGGTGCATCAATACATCACCTAGGTCTAACCAGGGCATGTGAGTTAAAAGTCTCACCTCCCTGGTCTAACTCTAAGTCAGGAACATATTAACATTTATCACGGCAAACATTCAATGCATCTGATGCCGACACTTCGGCCCCCCATCATAGCCATCATAGCCATCACTCACACTTCAATTGCACGCAGCGGGTGTGCATGCTAAGCGTACGCCGAGCGGTACACTCGTACTCACTTTCACTTTCATTCGGACAGGGAATTATCAATGATTACTTTAACAATTACTCATGCTATTTCCCTCGCTTTGTGACGGGGAGTTCTCACACTATACAATTTATCAGTTTCACGCGACATGCTCACAAAAATAACGTTGAAAGAGAAAGAAAATCATTCATTTACCATGCAGTGTTGGTACTCCCCGGCAACTGATCCAGATAAATGGACAGGAAATGGCTGACGTACGTTGCAATTGCATGAGCACATGGGAATATTCGCACGCATGTAATTTTTTTTTGGCCCAACGTCATATACCCTACCAATATATTCATGCACTATTTATCAGTAAAGATGGAGACAATGGACCAACGTTAAGCCAAGGTTGGCCCAACGTCGCGTATAGCCAACATATCCACCATTTCTCAGTAAAATTTGAAACGATGGACCAACATTGAGCCAACGTTAATAGCCCAAAGTCGAATAGCCAACCAACAGCCAAAATTTATCAGCAATAATTGAGACGATGGACCAACGTTCACCAACATTGGCCCAACGTCGAATAGCAAACCAATAGCCACCATTTATCAGTGAAAATGTCGACAATGGACCAACATTGAACCAACATTGGGCCAACGTCGAATAGCCATCCAAAAGCCAACATTTAAAATTTAGAATTGAGACGATGGACCAACGTTCAGCCAACGTTAGCCAAACGTCGAATAGTCAACCCAAAGTCACTATTTATAAGATAAAATTGAGACGATGGACCAACATGAAGCCAACATTGGCCTAACGTCGAATAGCCAACCAAACGCCAACAGTTATCAGTAATAATTGAGACAATGGACCAACGTTCAGCCAACATTGGCCCAACGTCGAATAGCCAAACGATAGCCACCATTTATCAGTGAAAACGGAAATGGACCAACGTTGAGCCAACTTTAGCCCAACGTCGAATAGCCAGCCAATAGCCACCATTTATCAGTGAAAATGGTGACAATGGACCAACGTTCAGACATCATTAGCCTAACGTCGAATAGCCAACTAATAGCCACCATTTATCAGTAAAAATGGCGACAATGGACCAACGTTCAGCCGTTGGCCCAACGTCAAATAGCCAACCAAAAGCCAACATTTATCAGTGAAAATGGCGACAATGAGCCAACGTTAGCCCAACATCGAATAGCCAACCAAAAGCCAACATTCATCAGTAATAAATGAGACAATAGACCAATGTTCAACCAACATTGGCCAAACGTCGAATAGCCAACCAATAGCCAACATTTATCAGTGAAAACGGAAATGGACCAACGTTGAGCCAACTTTAGCCCAACGTCGAATAGCCAACCAATAGCCACCATTTATCAGTGAAAATAGTGACAATGGACCAACGTTCAGCCAACATTGGCCCAACGTTGAATAGCCAAATAATAGCCACCATTTATCAGTAAAAATGGCGACAATGGACCAACGTTCAGCCAACATTGGCCCAACGTCAAATAGCCAACCAAAAGCCAACATTTATCAGTGAAAATGGGGACAATGGACCAACGTTCAGCCAACATTGGCCCAACGTCGAATAGCCAACCAATAGCCACCATTTATCAGTGAAAATGGCGACAATGAACCAACGTTCAGCTAACATTGGCACAACGTCGAATAGCCAACCAATAGCCACCATTTATCAGTAAAAAATGGCGACGATGGCCCAACAATTAGCCAACGTTGGCTTGCCGACTTCGACTCTGCCGACCGTGACCGACGTCGGCCCAACGCCGTATTGTTATCTGGGTAGCTCCATTCGATCACCAATATATAATAGATGCCTAAAGGTATAAACTTGGGAAGATTTTCACCTTTCCAAGGTGATATTAAAATCGGGTCTTCACAAGTTTACAGTCGATAGTAAGTATCAACGTTTTTATTGCAATAATAAATAACGTGATAGAGATATATGGAAATATCCAGTATACCTCTGATTTCCCCCTCGTTTTTTAATTCAGCTTGTTCCGACTGATTGCGCAACTTTGTGTAAATATTCAACGAAATGATTGTTAACACGATTGATATGTTAGAATTAAATTAAAACCGTCTTTAATAAAATGTTAATGAATGGACGACTCCCATAGTCGTATTGTTATATACACATAGACTAGGGGTGATACCACCCTCTCTCGACGCTCTTCCTTACATCTTTGGGTGTTACCTAAAGCTATTGTTGGAATACACACGCTTTTCCCTTATGTAATCAGCTGAAATGCTAAATTAAAATTAAAATGATATTTTGTCTTTTAAAAGTATTCTCTGTAATCGAGAACAAAAATAGTTGAAAGCCAATAGTTGTAATACAGTGTCTATATTTACCGCTCTGATTATTTCCATCTCGTTTCCATATGAAGCTGATTGCTCTGTCGGGGAACTACCTGGGAACCTCACATCGCTGATTAATGACACCTGCGAGACCAATGCTAATGTACCATGTAATACAGTGTGCATGTTTAAGTGTGACGCAGGATACACCATCACTCACAATAAATCCATCATCTGTAAAATAGGAATGTTTACACCTGACATTCCATCGTGCAATGGTAAGATTTTTCATGAATATCCCCTAACTTTTCTCAGAAAGTTCAAATTCTTTTTCCTATGCTTCAAGGGAGGGCTTCAAGGGAGCGCTTCCACCAAGCATCTAGACAAAGAACTAGATAGTTTATTCCTCAGCACTACATCCTGACTTATGGATCCTGCTGAGTATCGTCGTAGAAGTAGAAGTATATCTATAGTGGCGTAGCTATAGACCAATGAGAAGCACGTACCCTCTTCCCATCAACTGGTGATCACAAATGAAAGAAAGAAAGAAGAGAGAGGGGAGAGAAGAGGGGGAGAGACACACAAACTCTGAGACAGAGAGAGAGAAAGAAAATGGACAGAGAGAGGGAAGAGGAGGAAAAGGGGGAGAAGGGTAGAGGGGAAGGGATGGGGGAGGGGGAGGGGAGATTAAGGGACCATGCGTTATGAGAAGAAGGTTTTACGACCCCCTCTCACACCCTGCTTTTACTGTTTCTCCCCCGAAGGTCTCCAATGCACCAGTGAGACAATTATACCTGAACCCATCCTAACACCACTGTTTACACCTAAATATATGCCCTCCCCCCAAAAATAATGTATACATACGTCTTGGCTAGTCTACTATCATATTTTGTCCACAAATTAGGCCAATTGCACTTTCTGATCTCTACTTTTGTGACCTCCTACTTTTATCAAAACCGGATGAATGTGCTTCTAACCCGTGTGATAACAATACTACATGTGTAGATCTCTTAAATTTTTGTTTTTAGTGTTTTAGTAGTAGTTTGATTATGATCTTCATTTATCAATTGCTGTTTTCATCATGTTCTGTAGTATTTGTAGGGCAAAGAAAATTTTGGTCCAAAATTATTTAAAAACAGTCAAAATTGTACACTTTTTAGTGTTGCAATGGACCTTTAGATGTAACTGACAGGGTACTAATGTGTTTGCTGCCATCTATTGGCCTTGTACGTTCAGTGCATTTGAGTACATGCTAAGAAAGCTGCCTCCATGGAGGCACTCTAGTGCAACTGAACTCGCGACTGCAGGCCAAGTTATCCCATTTTGGATAAAATTTATTGCAGGAAACTGTGTTTGTAGTACCTTTATAATATGCTAATTATATCTGAATCATAATTTTTTGACAAAAAATGCTGTAACTTGAAAAATATTCATCAGAATTATTTCAAAATTGGCAAAAACATAAGTTTTTATGCAACAAACAATCCTATCATGGTTTTTGCAACATCCTAACGTCACAAGCAAAATAATTTTCAAAAATCATTCGAGTTTCTGTTTTTTCTTTGAAATATTATAATTTTATGTAAATCATGAAAATTATACAAATGGTGTCATAGGATTGTTGTGCATATAAATGTACTATCAAAATCACAAAAAAGTGCCTTGATATCGTTATTACAATTACAGTACTAGTACAAAGAACCAGCACTACAATATTTTTTTGAATATTCATGTCCTTGAGTAATTTGCATATAATTTGCATATCAAATGAGATAAATAACTTTCTCAGAATATTTTAGATTCTCCATTGCCTCAGCTCTCCAGAAATAAATGGTTTATAGTAGTTTACTATTAATATCACGTAATGATCTATTACGAATTCTGTATCAATTTGCATTTCACTGTATTTTACCAGACTGGTCCCCTCAAACATAAAGGTACTAAAGCAAAGCAATACTATTTCGTAGTACTGTACCAGAAATGTTCGCGATACAATTAACAAATAGCAAATCATTAAAATATATGTGAATACAACATACTGAATTGTTAAAGAATGAGATCAAGACAATAAAAATACATGCACTGTTCATACAGTCGAATTAATGCAACTTGCACTTTGTGTTTAAAATACATTTCTATTTCTTCTTACTTTTATCAGAGACGGATGAATGTGCTTCTAACCCGTGTGTTAACAACGGTACATGTGTAGATCTCTTAAATGACTATAATTGTATCTGTGTACCTGGATATGAAGGCAAGAACTGCCAGAACGGTAGGTCGTTTCCATAATTATATACGTTGTGTATGGTTATTACATATAAAGGTACTAAGCAAAGCAATAGACGTGTCTTTCTTTCGTAGTACCATTTTAGAAATGTCCATGATACAATAAACAAGTCGCAAATCGTTCAACTAAGCGTAAAACCAACGCACTGAATTGTTAAAGAACAAAATCATTAAAAATGAAGATGTAAGCATCGCTCATAATAAAATAGTCGAGATAATGCAATTTGCACATTGTGTTTAAAATATATTTCTATTTCTTCTTACTTTTATCAGAGACGGATGAATGTGATCCTAACCCTTGTGGTAACAGTGGTTCATGTGTAGATCTCTTTAATGACTATAATTGTACCTGTGTACCTGGATATGAAGGCAAGACCTGCCAGATCGGTAAGTCGTTTCCATAATATATACGTCGTGTATTACTATTAAACATATACATATTAAGCAACGAGATAAACATCTCTCTCTTTCGTAAGTACCGTACCAGAATGTTCATGATTGATCTTTTATTTATTTATTGGCTCCATTAGTAGTTAAATACTGTTTTCCGTGAAGGCCCTACAACAAAAATACAACATTTGCAAACATATCGATGTAAACAATACAAATCGAGACAAAATAAATTTCGGTACAACATTTTCGAACAAAGGAAAAGAAACAAAAAACAACATAATGGACCAGTTCATTTATTAAGATAATCATAACGCCAAAACAAAAGAGTAAATTAAGAATTTGATGGCTCATTTCTTTACAAATTAGGTAAACTATTCCAAATAGCCGCACCATGTTTTCCCATCTATGTTTTTATTTTGGGTAAGATTAATCTGCGCGTTCTAATGTTATGTACATATTGGGATTTTTGAATCATTTGTAAAATATAGACCGGAGTTTGATTTTCCAAAACAGAATAGCTCATTTTGCATTTGAAATAATTTCACCTATTTCATTTACATATTAATGCATTAAAAGATTTTAGGAGTTTCCAAAGTTTCCGGGGGTTTGTCTTATTTTCTCGAACACCAGTTTCATAATACTTCTTTTTCAAGGTAGTTCGCAAATTGTTAAGGTGATTTCGAACCCCTCTGTATGAAACAATAAGGTTAGGGGCGCAGCCCCGAAACAAATAGTACTATTGGAGTCACCAAGTGCCTCGGAAAGAAGGCAGGGGGTATTTGTTTTATATCCTGCATCAAAAATTACAAACACAAACAAGAAATTCTTTTTTCTTCTTTTTATTTTCTTTAAATCTAAAAAATTAATAAAAACAACAATTAATTGCAAATATAACATTTTAACAATTTTTGCTGAATTTAACGAACTTTATCAATTTTTGTTTTCAACTCCCTACTTTTTCAGGGCAACCTTAAAATGGTTGAAATATTTCTGGTCATGTGAAGAGCTCTCAACAAATCAAAAACCAATATATTTTTGATTTAGGATATAATATTGATTATTATAGGTTTTCTTTCCGTTTTTCACTCAGTTTCAAACCGTTTTTATTCAATCTCATCCCGAAACTTCCCTTTTATAAAACAGTCAATTTCGTCTTTGGTCATTCATTTTGGAACTTTGTCCAATTTTTAAAAATCATTTTACGTCCAATTTTGTCAAAGTAAAATCAAGTTGGTCATTCACAGCAGCTATCTTGCAAATTTTCGTCCCTTTTTAATCGATTTCATCAAAGCGTCATTCAAGTTCGTCACTTGTTTGTTTGTTATAGTTATTACGCTTTGTCGTTTCATTTCTTCCTGAAACTTGCTGTATGTATATACGTTTGCATTATTTTTGAACAGCGTAGGTCTAATAATATACGTTTTCAATACCATTAGCGTCGACAATTCCTTTTTTTTTTAAAATACATGTAACTGAGTTTCACATTCTTAATTGCTAATTAATGGCTATGCTTTGATTGTTTAAGTTTTAATCAGGTTGAATATACGATGAGCAACAATGTATTGTGTAATGAAAAAAAAACAAAATCATTTAATATTTTGACTTGTTGTGTGTCTCCATTTTCATAAAAATAAATACAAAATTATGACTACCAAAATATCATAATAATCCTGATATTATCTATGTTCTTCTCACACAGTGACCGTATCATCTACCGGTACTCCAGCTTCTAACACTCCAACGGCATCGGTGTCTTCACCATCATCAACCCCCTCATCGACAGAACCTGGTAAAGATTATTGATTATTCCTGATATACAATTAACTCAATTGGCATAATGGTGAAGATGATGATAATGATAATAATAAAAATTATGATGATGTTAATGATAATAATAATAATAATAATAATAATAATAATAATAATAATGATATTCATGAAACGACTACTATATACTACTACTACTACTACTACTACTACTACTACTACTACTAATACTACTAATGATAACAATATTTAGATAGCGATCAATTTAACATGATAATAATAATGATGATCATGACCTTTACCTAATTGCTATGAAAGCATGTATGCTGCATATAAGTAAGCAACCAACAGTCCAACGGCTTTAAGTCATCTCTGAGGGAACTAGTAAAGAGGATCACTGCATTACTTTGGTTTCGAACCCGGGACCCTCCGTTTACGGGATCACTTCTCTACTACTGAGCCATTGCACCTTTTCCTTTTTACACCATATTTTTGTGTCATTTTGTAAATGATTTTCAAAATCATTTCAAATTTTTATCTGTTGTGTGTGTCCAATTTAATAACAAACGAAAAACCAGAATCTATGAATGGTGAAATATCATAATAATCCTTATATTATCTATGTTCTTCTCACACAGTGACCGTACCATCTACCGGTACTCCAGCTTCTAACACTCCAACGGGATTGATGTCTTCACCATCATCAACCCCCTCATCGACAGAACATGGTAAAAGATTATTGATCAGTCCTGATATCCACGGAGCCATCGTTCCTTAAGCTTTTGAACCCTATTTTTGTATTAATGTGTAAGATATTGAAAATAATTTAATATTTTAGTTCAAGTTCAAGTTCAAGTTCAAGTTCAAGTTCGAGCTTTATTTCCATTTTACAAAGTATACAAAAGTAATTATACAAGTGTACATGTTTGTTTTTTCTTTGCTAAACAAAAAAGAATTATATTATTCTTAATCAAGTTACAAGGAATTGTAGGATAATCTTTAGTGTATCTCCGTTTTCATGAAAAGAAATATGAAATGATGACTGGTGAAATATCATATTAATCCTGAGATTATCTTTGTTCTTCTCACACAGTGACCGTACCATCTACGGGTACTCCAGCTTCCAACCCTCCAACGGCATCGATGTCTTCACCATCATCAACCCCCTCACCGACAGAACCTGGTAAAAGAAGATTGATTATTCCTGATATACAATTAAATCAATTTGGTATAATGATGATGATGATGATGGTGATGATAATGATTGTGATAATAATGATATAATAATAATGATAATATTATTATTATTATTAATATACTAATTATGATGGTAATAATAATTATGATGATCATGTTACTACTACTAAAATAATGATAAATAAGATATGATAATAATAATAATCATAACGATAATGATACCAAAATGATAATACTAGTGATGATATACATTAATCATTATAATAATCATGATGAAATTCATTAAACAAGTGATAATACTAATGAAGATGTTTATTGTTCTGCCTGACTGCTATGAATGCATGTATGTTGCATGTAAGTAAGCAACCAAGTGACTGACGGCTATAAGTCCTCTCCGATGGACGCAGTAACGGGAATTAATACCTTACCAAAGGACATGAGCGTATTGAATTAGATTCGAACCTTGGACCTCTGGTATACGAGACACCCGCTCTACCACGGAGTCATTGTTCCTTAAGCTTTTGAACCCAATTTTTGTATAATTGTGTAAATAAAGTAAGATATTAACAATAATTTAATATTTTTGTTCAAATTCAAGATCAAGTACAAGTTCAAGTTCGAGCTTTATTTCCATTTTACAAAGTAAATTACAATTTTCTTTTACAAAGTATACACAAGTAATTATGCAAGTGTACATGTTTTTTTTATCTTTGCTAAACAAAACAAAATATTTATATAATTCTTAATCAAGTTACAAGGAATTAAAGGATAATCTTTAGTGTATGTTCGTTTTCATAAAAAGAAATACGAAATTATGAATTCTGAAACATCATATTAATCCTGAGATTGTCTTTGTTCTTCTCACGCAGTGACCGTACCATCTACCGGTACTTCAGCTTCTAACCCTGAAACAGAATCGATGTCTACATCATCATTATCCTCAACCCCCTCACCGACAGGATCTGGTAAAAGATTATTGATCAATCCTACAATTAATTCAATTTGGTATGAAATTGATGATGATGATGATGATAATAATGATAACAATGAAAATGTTGATGATATTATATAGTATTAATGACTGCTTTGAGAGAAATAGTTGTTTTTATACGCTCAAGGGAAGGTTAAAATTGTGCTATTGCCCCGAGGCGTGCCGAGGGCAATAGCCCAATTGTAACCTTCCCGAGAGCGTATAAAAACAACTATTTCTTGAATATTAAAGCAGTCATTAATACTTTTATATGCCAAAAACAAAAGAGTCAACTAATGACACCACCTTGGCCTTTCTCTAGTTTATCTGCACGGTTGTTTTTTTATGAGTGTATCTTTGAGAGTAGACTAGATTTAGATTCTAGTCTAAGCAAGATATTTTTACAATTTTGGGGGTGGGCCGGCCCTGTGGGGAATAGAGAGAAGAACTTGCGCTTTCATATGACACCTCACTTATTGAGTATCACCTTCAGGATCACAACAGATAAAGGTTTGAATCTCGAATTGAAAAAAAAACTTGACTTTTTTTGCATGGTCCCGCAATGCACGTAGACTGCATAGAGACTGCATTGCGTGTAATCTCTATGGGAAGAATACAGCACACAACATCGGGTGCGCGATCAGACACCCTGACAACTGGTACTCTATTTTTAGCAACTAAACGAACATGTTTATGGATAATTTCACGTACCTTTTTTGTTGTTCTTGCTGTCAGCGAGTCTTGCATTTGATAAGTTGAAATATTGGGACAGTTTCTTTAGCCATTTTTGTCTTGTTTGGAATTGTCTTATCTTGTATGAAAATACCGACCAATTCTTCGCACACGTACGGTATCCTCGATCGCTCAAACCATTTTTTAACATGTAAACCTATGGGGTAACCATGGAGACTGAACTATTTTAGAACTGTTTTAACCATGGTTACTGGGAATTTTACAGAAATAGTTAAAGTTTATGAATGCAATTTCGACCAATCAGATGGCTGGATTTCTTAAGTGAGGTATATAAATAATAATATTAATACTAATGATGATGGTAATAATACTAATGATGATCATGTTACTACTACTATAATACTTTTAATATCACTACTTTTACTAATGCTACTACTAATACTAATGATGATATCAAAATAATGATAATAAGACATGATAATGATAATAATAATTAAAATAATTATAACAACAACAACAACAATAATAATAACAATAATCATGATAATCATAACGATAATGATAACGAAATGATAATACTAGTGATGATATACATAATAATAATAATAATCATGATGAAATTCATAAAAAAGTGATAATACTCATTATGATGTTGATTGTTCTACCTGATTGCTATGAATGCATGTATGCTGAATGTAAGTAAGCAACCATGTGACTGAAGGCTGTAAGTTCCCTCCGATGGACGCGGTAATGGGAATCGATACCTTACCAAAAGACATGAGTGTATTGACTTAGATTCGAACCCGGGACCTCTGGTATACGAGACAACCGCTCTACTACGGAGCCATCGTTAATTAATTAATAATAATAATAATAATATTTAATTTTTATATAGCACTTAATAAAAATGTCTCTAAGCGCTTTACAAATATACTATTACCCCGGTTATTGGATTCAGTGCTTTTGAACCCTATTTTTGTATAATTGTGTACACAAAGTAAAATAAAATAATTTAATAATTTAGTTCAAGGTTTAAGTTACAGTTCGAGCTTTATTTCCATTTTACCAAGTAAATTACAAAAAACATTTTACAAAGTATACAAAAGTAATTATACAAGTGTACATGTTTTCTTTTCTTTGCTAAACAAAAACAAATATATCATTCTTAATCAAGTTACAAGGAATTATAGGATAATCTTTAGTGTATGTCCGTTTTCATAAAAAGAAATACGAAATTATGAATTCTGAAACATCATATTAATCCTGAGATCGTCTTTGCTCTTCTCACGCAGTGACAGTACCATCTACCGGTACTTCAGCTTCTAACCCTCAAACAGAATCGATGTCTACATCATCATTATCCTCAACCCCCTCACCGACAGGATCTGGTAAAAGATTATTGATCAATCCTGATATATACAATTAATTCAATTGGTATGCTAATGATGATGATGATGATGATGATGATGATAATGATGATAGTGATAACAACAGTATACAAATGATGCACAGGTTTGAGTGCGTCGGTAGGGATTGTGTGAACAAGGTACCTTTGAATGGTTTTAGACCAAATTCAAAGGTACCGCGTACACACAACTCCACCGACCCACGAATTAAACCTGTGCATCATCTGTTTTATAAGATGGGGCCCCAAAAATGGTCAGAAATACAAAATTTTGTTATTTTACAGATTTACCGCATGCATGGCAAAATCATGCTCTGGTAATTACCGGACGCATGATCATGAAATTAAAAAAAAAAATAATAATAATTGTCAGTGCACATTAAACTGTAAACAGATTATAATTATCAAAAAACACGAAAAACAAATCATTATCATCAACAAAATCATTAAAAAAAAAAATTTATTAAAACAAAATTATTAAAAAAAGAGAAAACAAAAAGAGAATTATTAAAAAAAAAAGAGGATATCGATGGTATCGCGTGCATCCAGTAAAAATAATTACAGTTTTTTTTTCTCTTTACCTCTTCAGAGGGACTTTATTGTTCCATTTCAAAATACATGTATATTATTTACAAAACAAGTAAAATGAAACATGAATTATATACAAGATCAACATAATATCTTAAAATTATCATTTTAAAATTTCTAATACTTTCTTAACTTCCTCAATATCGAAGTATTTTATATTTTCTTTGTATTTCAAATAACATTTTAATGATGAAATAAAATTATTTATTAACCTCTTTGGATTGGTTGGTACTTCTCCAAAGATCCGCTTTACGTAGTCTTTGTATATAACCAGTTGAGCATAATTTATCCAAAAATTAAGTAAAGTAAACTTTCGGTTATCTATTTTATATCCAATCAATAACATTTTCATATCAATTTCAATTTCTATTTTAAAAATGAAATATATAATTCTTGAGATAATTTTCCAGAAAACTCTTAATTTCTTGCAACGAAATATAAAATGTTCAATAGTTTCTTTTGCACGACAAATTTCACATTCGTTAGATTGTACGATTTTCCATATAAAGAGATTGTCTTTAGATGTCAATATTCTATGAATTAATTATAAATTATATTGTTTGATCTTATTGTCTCTTATGTTATTAAATTTGAACTGAAATACATCTTTCCATACAAATGTTTCTGGTAGGCCTAAAATATTTTGCCAAAAATTGAAACCATTTTTTTCTTTTTTTCTTTTCTAGCATTAAAATATAATAACTTTTCGCCGTAGTAAATTCAACGTTTATAACATCTAAAGTTGTCTCAATGTAAAAAATAATTACATGGTAATTGACCAATCAAATTGCAGGGATTCTTCTACCCATCTTATAATACGAATAATGATATCCAATATACACAAACCTTTGTGAAGTGCTTTTCACATTGTGATTTTTAGCTAGAGATTCATCTGTAGGTCTACTATTTTGACGATCCTTAACAATCACGATACGCGATCATTCTTTATAATCATCTTTTCCTAATTATTTTTAGTCATATTTTTTCACTAATTCAGACATAGTATGTAATTATGTTGAAAAATAACAGCAAATGAACAAAGTGTAACGTTTCAAAGTTTAAGTTCAAAGCTATTTTTCTCTTAATTGCAATTCATTTATTTTTCACCTGTGACATCGAACAGCCTGGTCTGCACGAATGACTTTAACATAATTTACTGCTTAACATTCATAATCTTTTAGCGAAAGAATGTACAGTGCCAATGGATGTAGCTGACTCGACCTGTGATAGGAGCGTCTCACAAAGGACAAAGTGTAGCTTCAAATGCAGTGAAACCGGTGACGATGTTCGTACGGTCACGTGTGAAGCTATGGGATCATGGAATAAGGGACTTCCTAGATGTGGAAGTAAGAATTTCAAGTTCAAAGTTATCTCTTTTATTCAATTCATTTATTTTCTACTTGTGGGATGGAACACTCTGGATATCAATGTCGTTCATATGAATTTTGACAATTCAAATACACGTATATATAACATATTTAAAGAAATAACCTATACAACAGCTTTGGCAAGTCTCGTGGAAACAAATACAATGCGAAAGGAAACGTCCTAACCAAGGGACTATGTACTTGACGATTAATGCCTTATGGTTTATTTGATGGTTTCGAGCCTGGGAGCTCTTTGTTAGGTGACTCCTTCACTGTCAGATTACCACGTACTCATCGATATAATTATCTCACTCTTTCAAATAACATTATCTGTCAAATGAAATTAAGGAGAATTTTATTTTTTAAAATACAGAATGATAATGATATAGTCATAATAATTGTTTAGATACCCGATGTAAATCAGTTATTTGTTATTTACGGTAGTTTAACAAAATAAACGAACAGAAATTAAATTTTATTTGGGTGCAAGTTATATGGCTGGGATATGTCTCATCAATATGAATTTACCCTAGATAATTGTGAAGCAGGGGTATGTCTATTGTGAAATTGAATATTGGAATTACATTTATCCCAAATTTTGAACAGGTTTAGGCTTAAATGCCACCATGAACATGACCATGAACATGACCATGAACATGAACGCGAACATGACCATGAACATGACCGCACGAAGAAAAAGACGCGAAACTTTGCCCTTGGACAAGCAAGATGTTCTAACAGTTCAAGAAACGGTAAGATACTCATGGCACACCAAAGCCTTCTCAGTTGGAATTATATAAGAAAGTTCATTGTCCGGAACATCCCAGTAGACCGACAGCCCACGATACCGACAGCCCACGAGACCGACAGCCCACGAGATCTACATCACACGAGACCGACAGCACACGAGATCGACAATGTCAGTTAAGTGAATTCTTCACTAAGTTGTCTGTCTCGTTGGCTGTAGGGTCTAGAGGGCCTTCTGACTATTTTGTAGAAGGGGCACTAGACCGACATTTTGATTATGGAAATCGCTTTGGTAAACTTCCTAAAAGACAATGCATGTGAAATATGATAATTTAGTTTTTCATAATTCAACATAATTTTCATAACATAATTTAATACGATGTAATTACATTGTACGCGTCTTTTTTCTTTCTTTTCCCATCCAACACGTGAATTGTGTCAGTTTGAATCGGTAATACTCGGGATTCCTACAACATATTTTGTTATTGTGACAACCATCAACGCTCAGAGTTTGTCAAACGGCGAGATGCAAATAAACTTACTCATAGGCGTCATGTACATGTCAGAAGTAACTGTTGAACGTTTGATAGAACAGATCAAAGTAGCTCTTCTTCTAGAAGTGGATGAATTCAGCGTTGTTTCAGTTGGTGTAACAGGTAGGGAGCATAAGCCTACATTATTTTTTATTTCTAAGTCTGTGTATAATGCTTTTGATGTACTTTCTAGCAAAACTTTGCTTTTCATTGTTCCTGTGAGAATGCTGCATGCTCATTCCTGTTTGGATGAATTATTACCATCAATAATTCTGGTTATCCTACCATTAAAGAGTAAGATCTACATTAAAAATTCAGACCCAGGTACAACAAAACATATTCAGTTAATTAACCTATATTTATATTCTTATAATTCCTTTTTTTCCTTTCATTTAATACAAAAAAACGATAATGCCGTGAATGGCAAGATACTGTTAAAGGGGGACAGCTTGAAGACAAGCCCCACATCCTTTTTCAGAATATCCGTACACAAATTGCAAAAGTGTATGTACGTCGTAAACCGCAACATTTGATTTTGATTTCGTTTCCACACGATTCATTCAAACTGAATATCAGATTAATCAATCAAAACGCACTGATATGTTAGTTGTTTCACAGTTATTGTATGCGGTATATAGGCCTAAATATATGTCGGCATGTTAATTCCTCACAGATCTGGACGCACTCTGTTCCCCGACGCCCTGCACGAACAACGGCGAGTGCCAGGTTGACTATAACACCTTTGATTTCACTTGCGTGTAAGTCTTTTTATTTATGTGTTTCTCTAATTATGATTAAATTCAAACCCAGCAAAGACATAGCGTTATCGGGAAGTATTTAAAAAAAAAAAAAATTTAGTAAATTTCCATTGCCACGAGTGCCTAATAACAAAGAAGTTGTAGGTATGCATAATTACGCATAACCCTCTTTTGGTCTTGATCGGTTACATGACAGCCTCTTTATCACCTATAAGGAGTAATTTAATACTCCAAGTCCTGAGATAAAGTTAAAGATTTTGTTTAAAGTAATACAAAGTTTTGGTAAATTTTGAAAATTGGCTGGATATTGATTCCTTACAATTTTGATATATTTGGATGCCCCTTCGGATGTATTATAAACACTAAAAAAAATAGCCCGTAAAACACTTCTGATTTCGAGATTTAATGAATATCAAAATTTCAAACAGCGCCTACGGCAATACAATGATAGCTGCGACCATGAAAATCTCAGAATATGCAGTTGTGATATATAAATTCCAAACGGGGATAGCAATCGGTCGATTTTAGACAAGAAACATTGTTTTATAGCTATATCAATACCTTGACCTTGAGAGGGAGCTATACAACATAAAGAGCTTATTATTTAAATTTTCATCACATTAGACTCGATTTCAACCGCGACAACGATCACTGAATATTGGAGGATATTATGCTTCAAATATGTTAATTTTAACCAAATTCAAGACCCTATACCAAAACTTTGTATTACCTTTAAACGTACCTATTTAGAAAAAGAATGTGGCGCATAAAGAATTAACGTCCAAGGAACGTTCTGTGTTCCTGGGGGGGGGGGGGGGGGGGGTTATAACGACATCTTTCCCATATTGATTTTCCTCAATTTGCCATGATTGTATTAAGGAATAATTACATTTCGTCCAAAATAATAAAAACATTTATTCGTATTTTCGGACATCCAATTAATATTGAGAGTAAAAGACAAATCAAATAAAGGTATGTTTGAGCTCAGAAATGTTTCGGGGGATTGTAATATTCATTAATGTCATAAAACTTTATCAAATGAAATATGTATAAACAAAACTAGATTAATCTGAAATCAAGTAAGAATGGTTAATAAATATACTTTTTTTAATGGAGTTTTCAAAGGGAATCGACAATGCAATATAAATACTTTATACTTAATTCAAATGGCAATATCTTAAATCTGTTATGTCGATTGTGAGTGCGATAAAATTTGCTTGGATTTTGTTAATCATTTAACCATACAAATTACAAGCTGACTGTTTCAACAGTATCTAAGCAATCTTCCTTCTATATTACATTAGAGTGCTTTTAAATTGCGTTTATGCTACTGTGTAAATATAATTTGAATGCTTTGCCAAACGTGACAAAATGACTGGAAGAAAATAGATCATACTTTAAAATTTGAAATCATGCGGTGTAAAACTTAATCTTGCGAATGATCTTCCTTTTCAGCTGCGCCAGTGGATACTCCGGGCCTCAATGCTCTAACTCTTCTAACGTCGTACTCCTTGCTATCCTAGTCCCTATCACGATTCTCATTCTCCTCTTCATCATCTTCTTCGTCGTCCTCGTCGTTTACTATCGTGTTCGTCTCCACAAACTGGAAGGGTATAAAAAGAGACCATTTCATTACGACATGAACGCTCGTCGATATGAAGATGGCATGCAGCAGCTGTACTTCATAGAAGATAGGAGACACCAACATCACGACACAGAGACCTTCAAGAACAGCGCTATGGGCCTTCGATTCAGTAAAGAAATCAATGTAAGTAGTCATTCCTAAACTAGCAAATCAGAAACGGTTCAGTTATCATATATCATACTAACCTCTGTAGTGCTAGTTTTGTATTTTCTGTACATTATTAATATTTCCATTAGTTAGCTTTGGGAGTTGCAAGTGCCTTGTTCTATTTTGAGATGGATAATGCAATATCACATGTGGGCAAAACACGTTGTCAAAGGATTAATAGGAACCGAGCAAGGATCGAACCCAGGATATCTCAAATGACAATACAGAGGCTTTGTCAATATACCTCAGTGAATTCACTTCTATCGATTTCCAAAACTAGAACAGCAATTGAAGTTATCTTGCAATGTTAGACTTCTACTTCTGATTTGTACGCTTAAATTTACAGGCTCGTATGCAAGTGAGATCTCAACAGATGGAATTACATGGGCATCACCCATCAGCATCCCAACATGATCCAACAGGTAGGCATCGAGGTCGAACGGACCCGATACAGAGTGGACGAAGCCTTCACGACCGACCAGTGACAGGCGACCAAGGATTCCAGGGACATCGCTCAAACGGTATGCGCAGTCGGGGCAATCCTTCCCTGAGTCACGAGACGGGCAGCAGCAACAGCGTAGTCTACAACAAGGCGGCCAGAAGGAGTGTGAATGATAGGAACATGGTTTTTGTAGGCAGATCCAGAAACGGGAGTATGCCGTCTGATGTGCACGTAGCTAACGGTTTTAACGACACACGTCTTTAAAACAGGGTTCTGTACAAGCCCATCAAATCAATATCCCTACCCAAATTATATCACAGGAGAGACCTTTCGGATTGATTGCAAAATTCCTAAATCCGGCTGTAACTTTCTTGGATAGTTGTATGATTTTTATTCATGTACTTAGGAATGCGCTGAACAATACTGGAAACCTTTCATTTTTAATTGAGGTTTTGTACTAAAAATTATATTTATACCCGCCTTTTAATTAAACCTAGATATTCGCAATTGTTTCTTTTTTTAAAGATTATGTTCATCATATATACACTGTTGGTCATAATGTTGGAATATTTATTTTTACCCCAGTTTAGGGAAGGATTTTTAAGAATTATTTATTTCTAATAGATCTAGATAATGGCATACATTCTCAGATTTTATTGAATATTAATATGCGAGTGTTTGCTTTGTGTGACTGCTTAATCATATGTGTGCTACTATGCTAATCAGCTAAGGGACCTACGTCCTTAAGTCATAATTGACAGTAATGAGGATTAATGCCTCACAAAAGGGCACTAATATATAGCTGATCGACACGATTTTTATCTTGGGGCCTCACAGTAACGAGGCCATTGCTTAGCCCCTGAATCATGACTGTACGCAGTGTTTGCTAGGGTACGCGGCCCCTTCTACAAATCCCCCAAAACGAAGAAAATGCAATAAATTGTCAAAAATTCATTGCATTTTCCCCCGGCCCCCAACAGGAAAAATTCCTCTGTAGGGCCATGCATTATGGTTCAAGGCATGGCCACACAGATTTTTCCTGTTGGGGGCCGGGGGAAAATGCAATGAATTTTTGACAATTTATTGCATTTTCTTCGTTTTGGGGGATTTGTGGGGGCGGCCGCGTACCCTAGCAAACACTGCGTACAGTCATGATTCAGGGGCTAAGCAATGGCCTCGTTACTGTGAGGCCCCAGGATAAAAATCGTGTCGATCAGCTATATTAGTGCCCTTTTGTGAGGCATTAATCCTCATTACTGTCAATTATTATTTAAGGACGTAGGTTCCCTAGCTGATTAGCATAGTAGCACACATGTGATTTAGCAATCACGCAAAACAAACACTCGCAAATTAATATTCAATAAAATCTGAGAATGTATGCCATTATCTAGATCTATTAGAAATAAATAATTTTTTTAAATCCTTCCCTAAACTGGGGTAAAAATAAATATTCCACCATTATGACCAACAGTGTACATATCTATTTTCAAAACTAGTTTTTATTTCGTTATGCAGATATTATAATCAATATAGTACTGGGTGTTTACTAAGTTGTTCAATTGTATTTTATTTGTACACAGAATATGTTTGTAACATGTATTTGTATTTTCTTTTGTTTACATTAAAGGTACTATGTCCCTTTTGCAGCCAACCTCAAATTCTGTAGAACTTTGCAGGAATTATGAATATGTCATGTATGTCCTATTTGTGAAATTTAAACGTTAGCAGTGCCCTAATATTCAAATTATGCAAGGAAACCCGTTTACTTGGTAGACTTCACTGTCAGACACCATTGAGTGACTGACTGGCTTTTTTTCTTCTTTGGTAATAACATACATAAAGTGAGCTGTTAAGGGTACATGAGCATTTGTGTACCTCAATAACCCACTTCTTGTGATGGCCAAAATTAAACTAATTGAATCTTTGCGCAGCATGAAACGTATGACCATTCGGTACATTGGTCTGAAAAGCAAGACTATTACTTATTGGCTCTATAGCTCCTAAGTCGATTTGACAACTAATAGTCGTTATTTTCCCACTTGAAGACATTTTCAAGCCCTACCTTTTTTAGGGAAGTTCTAAATTAGTATTATCTTTCAAATGCCATTGGAATTTAACCTTTTCATTTTGTTGGCCTGCAAATGGGACATAGTACCTTTAAGCGATCTTAGTATAATGGATGTTTATGCTCTTCCTACTCTGTTACTGTACTGTTACTTGATACCAATGTGGCTATCTCTTGATTTAGTCTGTTTTACTTCAGTTTTGTGTAAATCCATATTTATGGTGAATGTGTATTTATTTTAGCATAAAAATGAATAACAAAACGAACACTACAATAGTGTGCTCTGGAACACGTCAAGACTTACATCAAAATCAAATTAAAGCGTTGATAACATTACAATAAAAAGAACTGACATATAAATCATATCGTCAAGTAGTGGAAAGACAGATGGGGGCAAGGGCTAACCGGTTGATACACGTTTCCTTCAAAATCAAGACAAGTGAATAAAAACCGACCTTTTCCACGTAATCCATCATCAAAATTTGACTTGAAAGATTGTGCGAGGAGGCAGAAGAAATGCTTTCAGGTTCGAGCAAGTGCCTCATCAAGGTAATTTCATTATATGCGTCACATCAGACAGGTGAAGAAAAATTCCCTTTTAGGCTAAGGAGTGCCATTTGTTTGCCGCCCCGGAATTCGGTAACCTTTCAATCTGAAATGTTATTTAATCTATACAAAGAAAGACTTACAATCGATACTTGATATACGTTTTGTATCAGGTTCTGATTTACAACGTAATTCATTGTTCCTTCGTATTCGTGGTAGGATAAGTAAATTGTATGACTTAGGATTAGAAGAACAAAAATGCATAGTAAACATTTGAGTTGTAATATTAACATATATTCAGGTGTTTTGTATTTCTTCTACATATACATGTTTTTACACAGGCACTTTTTCATCCATGAATAAATTAAATAGAAATATGATAAACTGTATAAGCAACGAAGCTTTAAAATTACCATACAAGTGTTACATTTGGTTGATATGTTAATGGACAAATACATTATAGTGAGGCAATGGTGCATAGTTACATAAGCTAATGTAAGCTAACATAAAGTCTGGTAGTCAAATGGTATCCTATCAGAATTACGTATTGTTTTTATCACGGCCTTTTTCTTGTCTAGGCAAAATAAGAAGAACATGTGATATCGGACTACGAAGTTTTCGATGTACCAAGCTGGATTAATTATATAAACATAATACATATTTTCGTATGCACCAATAAAAAATCGAGAAAATTGATTAAAGTTTGATGTCTACCTTTCAGTTTCAAGTGAAATCCATCGTGCTCTTTTATTTTTATGAACACAACATGGTGCACTATGGCCTTCCAAGAGTCGACAATATGAATGTTGAAATTATATTCCATACGTTCTAACAACATAAATTACTCAAATTCAATTTGTCTTCGTAACTTGGGACTATATAATGATCATTGTTCATGAAATATCCGCTAATATCTTTGAATATGTTCGAAATGGTCAGCAAATGTCCTTTCTTAAAGGTAAAGACCAGTTATGGTCATGCGATTGCATTGTGAAAGAAACGTTGTGGAATCGATCAGAAAAGGTTGATCATCTAGCATCTAGCATCTGCAAGGTCCTGGAATAACCAAAATGATAAGATATTTGGCCCATTCTTCGTAAAGTTACAAGCACTATACACAGAAAGATGTATATGGGACTACCCTATATCTCTCACAAACCATGAGAGAAACAAATTTACCAAATATATGAATTAGTAGGCGGTTTCCCGGCAAATTTTTTATCATCATGTATTAGTTAAAAAACATATTCTTTCACATGATTGGTAATGAGAGCTTCCACTTCATTTTTTGAAATTAGGGCGTTTCCAATACTGGTCTTTACCTTTAATCTCCAAACGGTAAAATATCGTCATACAGTTTCTCACTCTCTTCGTCTACCTTTGTAGTTGGTAGCGGGAGTACGTTCTTTGCTCTTCGAAGCATAGCAGGAGTTCTTGATCTAGTTCTTTCCTTTTGTTTTTGTTTTGGGGGATATAATACACCCGTTGACATATCTCGGATTGGACGAAACAGCTTGAAGTAGCTAAGTTTTCATGCTATGATCAGCTGTTGGATCGGGTGACAGCGGTGGGATGTCCGATTCGCTTAACCTAGGAGGTATCATAGGACTTGGTGTTTGTCGTAGTTCAATAGAAAGTCTAGATTTTCGTTTCGTCGCTAGACGTCGCGGCTGTCGCATTGAAGAAAATGCTCGAATTGCAGTCGTATAGCCATTAGAATCCACCTGACTTATAATTTTTTTAGGACGAGATGACACGAATTTGTTCTCTGTGGCATATGAGTTACGAAGTATGTCACTCATACCCCGGGGAGGTATTGAGGTAGCGTTACTAATAGGTTTCACCACCGGTGACGCCCTTGGTCTTACCGAAGGAGCAACTCCCATTGACGGTTTTCTTGCTAAGGCGATAGTAGCCGGTGCGGTAGAACACCCACTACCAGGAGTCCTTTCTGGGAATGAGGATTCCGTCCAAGGTAATTGTGTTCCTGCAATCAAAGCTGTGTAAGTACCATCTTGGCATTATCAGCATACGGATAATCATATTCCTCGTCATCATAAGGTTCTTCATCATCCAGGTCACGGTGGTACATGGCACTACTGGTGGCACTATCTATCCCTATCTCGCAACCCTGGACGACTCTTGACATCGAACTCAACGTATCATTTTCGATGTAGCCACTGGCCATATCCTGGTTCCTGCGACTCTTTGCGGCAAGCGAGGGTCGTACTTCATAGATGTTCTCTTCGGGCATTCGATGCATTGTTACAGGAGCAACATCTACTGATGTAACATTGGTGCTTGATTCTGTGACTCCGGGTAGAGGGTCAAAGAGCACGCTGCCTGGTAGGTTTCCAGTTTGTCTTAGACCAGTGTAGTTGCAGAGACTGGGAAGTCGGTATAAAGGCAAGGCGTGAGGTAAGTGCGGATTGTTAAAGTGGGTCCAATAAGTTGGTGCTACATGATTTGAATGGCCCCCTCTTCCGGCAAGTCAAATACAAATATAAAGCTTGTATTAATTAGCAAAATCAAATAATTTTGTATCATTCATGAAGAATTTGATGTATTGTTTTAAAGTAAAGATCCCAATGAAATCGTCAATGATCATCTAAAACATTCCTACAAAATTGTCAAAATTAATGACAAAAGCAAACATATCTCAAGTGGATTTAGAAATATATTTACCTTCATCCCTCTCTCTTTGCTGTTTCAAAATCGCTGCTCGTATCTTTTTCCTGGAAAAAATATAATATAATCATTAATATTATAAGAACTTTTAATGCAATGCACAATGTATCTTGATAAAGTTTTCTAATATTTACCATTTTCCTGTTAATATAAACGTGATGGATTTTGTATAATTTTCTGTATGTATGTTAAAATGTTTGGAAAACGTGTTTGGAAAGTTCTAAAACAATGCTCATTGCG